GGATCATTATTTATACTACTAGAAACTGTAGTATTTTAGGCAAACCACGTTTAAAAGTTGGAAGGGCTTTGGGAATTATGAAGCCAAGTCCTTTATCAAATCTTTTGACTTTGCTGTGCGCTGAATTTTTTCTAGCTAGTTGGTGGTTATGTTGGATGTTTTCTTTTTGCCCCTGTAGATTTATGCTCCCCACCCCCCATTCTCCTTCACCTCCCTCTTGTCCCTAGGAAGTTGATGACTTGTATGGAATATATCAAAGGTTCCCAGGTTCCTTCTGGTTTCCCATTGAATTTGTCCACAAAGGAGTGCCACTGGGAGGAAGATGGAGATAGAGTAGTCCACTAAGCTAGCTGTGTCCCTTGATTAGAGATCATAGCTTCTGTCAGATGACCATCTCCCTACAACTCCAGGTTCTAGTAATAGTCCTTTTCCTGGAGCCTTCAGGCCTAGGACTGGTACAAAAACTTCCTGTTTCTAGTCTCAAGTCCTGTTTTCTCCCTTGTGGTTTTCCTGTACTCTGCCCAGGCTTTTTATAAATAACCTCTTTTAAAAACTCTTCTCAAATTGCTCTCTTTGAGGGTTGCCATCTATTTTCTGCCAGGAGCCACCCTGCCCAGTAGAGTCCTAGGAGCCAGGTCTCCTGGACTGCCAAGGCTAGACTCTTTTCATTGAGACTAGTCCCCTTCAGTCTTGAGTCCCCAAGTGACTGATAGAGATAGAAGCCTCCTGTGCTAGTCCACAGTGGACATGTGATATAAATGCAAAACAAAACATCTTTTTATGTTTAACCACTGAGATTTGAGGAATTTTGATATTAGATCTTAGAGCAGCCCATCATTCAGGGCCTGTTTTTTTTTTTTTCATCTTTAAATCAGGGAAAGTTGTAATACTATCCTACTTATAGAGTTTTATAGACTAAATGAGATTATAAAATGGTTAGCATGGTGGCTGCTTCATGGTAAATTCTCAGTAGTGGTTGTTATTATCATTGTTAATGTTTCTTCAACAATTGGGTTATAAACAATTACTGTGTCATATAATGGTAAACTACTAGAGTAAAGGTTCCATATCAGGAGCCACAAATATTGTTCTTGCAGTAAATAATTCAGAAAACAACTTTTAAAAAGGACTCATCTCTATAGATTTTTTTCCTGTTGTGTAGTCTGCTAAATTACATTTCAGGGTAAAGTAAAAAGGTTGACTTTGTGTCTTGTGTTAACACTTATGTTATGAAAGTGATGTGACATTTAATTAAGAACTATAGTTGGGCTGGGAATGTGGCTCAAGCAGTAGCGCACTCGCCTGGCATGCGCGGGGCGCTGGATTCGATCCTCAGCACCACATACAAATAAAATAAAGATGTTGTGTCCACCAAAAACTAAAAAATAAATATTTAAAAAATTCTCTCTCACTTTTAAAAAAAAGAACTATAGTTGTTGGGCAGATGCTTTATTGATGTCTAGTTATGTCATGATATAGGACATTTTTTAAATCTAAATTATTTTTGTGCTTATAAATGAATTAAACTTTTTGTAAATGAAGGCATATTGGGGATAGTGTCATTTTGAAATATCCCTTAATTCCTAACAAAAATACAGAAAGTAGAACAGTAAAACAAAGACAGAGATGAAACTAGCTGCCAGAGTATCCCACCAGGAACAGCAAGACTTGGGCACAGGAATAGCAGCTGCGCAGCAGGGGAAAGGAGTTGTTGATTCTTTTGAATGTCAGGGAACACAGAAATTTACCACCAATATTTACATTATAAAGGAGAAATCCCCACTGGGATTAAAGAACTATGTGGGCTGAATGAAATCAGTTAAAACTTGGAGGGGCTTTACAGACTCAAATTTATGGAAGAGTGCAAGGAGACTGGAGGAGGTTAGAGGCCATGTGAGTGATCCTGGGTTCTCAGAAATACCAAGCAAAGATCTCTCTGGAAGTAGAGTCACCTCCTAAACAGGAACTGCTAGGACTATGAACCCCGATTGACAGGGTGTTAAAGGAGAAAGGCAGCATAGATACTAATGGAGGAGGGGACCAGAAGCAGTGGATTTCAGAAAGTATTGGGGAAGTGTCCATATTTTTAATAGTTCCATGTAAAACCAGAAGAGGGAGACCTAGAGCCATGATACTAGGGAAGTCCTAGGGGCCTACTTTCTGTTCTTTATCCACTTCACTTAAATATGAACAATAGAAATGGATTGAGGTTGGACTTCATGCCAACATTGTATGAAGAAAAACAAGGATATCCCCCATAAATAAGAAAGCAACAGATAAGGAAGTCATGGCAGAAAAATTGGACCCCTTCAAAGGATGAAACTTGATTCATATTACTAAAGAAGCTAATGCAAATTGAGAAAATGAAATTATTAAAGATCTGCATGCATCAGGATTGGAAAATTTGGAAACTAGAGAACTTTTAAATAATATGCCTTTATGAGAAGACAGTTGACAGAAGGGAATAGAGGGGGAAAATAGCAGAATGAATGAGACCCAGGGGGAAAAAAGTCCATTTTCTTTAAAATTGGCAAAAGTAAATGATAGTGTCAGGAAATGTCCCTTTGGGTGATTAAACTATAAGGAAAGGCATGCAGATGGCTACTATAAAATTCAAATATCGGTTCCTTTTATGTGAAAGAAAGGGTTTGATATTGGAATGGGACACAAGGGGAGTATGCAAATTTCATTTCTTGAACTGATGGTGGGAATAAGACTAACAGGCTTGTAATAACTCACTAAGCATCTGGTTTGGTTTTCTAATTGTATCAATTACTAATGCTTTTTACTAAAATTATAACAGAAAAACCTGGCTAATACCAGCTTTAAAAATAGACATTCATCTTAGGTACTGGTCACAGGTTAGTGTCATGGGTCCTCTTACAATAAGGCATTGGGGTATTCAGTTTGATGCACTGCCTCTGGGTTTCACTCACATCAGTTGCTCCATGGAGGAAAACTGGGTGCATGCATCTGGCTTTATTCCATATAGGAAGAAGTGAGACTCTCTTCAAGGAGAGCTGGGAATGTGAGTTCTGAGCTTCTACAGACTTTAAGGTAGATTCCAATGAAGAAGCAGGTGGTCAGGTATGAGTGTTGAGAGAACACTGCTGCATGTATACATTAGAGCCCTGGTTCTTACCCATCAATCATATTGCCCCCTGGGGAATATTTGGCAAGAGCTAGAAACATTTTGGATGTTATAATTGAGAAGAGCTGGGACTAGGGTTGTGGCTCAGAGGAAGAGTGCTCCCCTAGCATGCATGAGGCCCTGGGTTTGATCCTCAGCACCACATAAAAATAAAATAAAGGTATTGTGTCCACCTACAACTAAAAATTAAATAAATAACAATTGAGAAGAGCAGTGCTGCTTACTGGCATCTGATAAGTAGAGGCCAAGGATGCTGCTAAACATCCTGTGATGTACAAGCCAACCTCCCTCAACAAAGAAATTATGTTTCTTTGTCAATAGAGCTGAGGTTAAAGAACCCTGTTCTGGAGATGTGATTATCAAAGTATAGTCTGGGAGCCCTTGGGAATTCCTCAAAACCTTTTCAGTGGTCCATCAGATCAAAATTGATTTAATAACATAAATATATTATTTTTCTTTTTTATGCTCCTCTTTCACAAGTGTACAGTGGAATTTTCAAGAGGTTGCATAACATGATATTGACTGTCTGTTGCTTAGGTACAGAAACAGGTGTGAGAAGCTTCTCCTTCCCACTAATCCTCAAGAGGTTTGCAAGAATGTGAAAGCATGGCTCCCTTTTCACTTTTTTGATTTATAAAATGTAATTATTTTTATTAAAACATCTCATGTGGGGCTAGGGTTATGGCTCAGAGGTAGAGTGCTCGCCTAGCATGTCCAAGATCCTGGTTCAATCCTCAGCACCACATAAAAATAAATAAAATAAAGGTATTGTGTCCATCTACAACTAAAAAATAAATATTTTTTAAAATGTCATGTTAATACAATAGATTATTATTATTAACATCAAATGAATAAATGTTCAGTTTTTCATGTTTATTCAATATAATAAATATTGGTAGCTATAGCCCATGAAACTAAGGCTCTTTGTGGGCCACACAAATTTTAAGGTTGTAAAGGAATTCTGAGGTAAGAAGTTTGAGAACCACTGATCTGGAGACCAGCTGAGTTTTAAATGACTAAACAATGTGAAAACTATAAGAAGCATAATAATGGCTGGTCACAGTAGCACAAGCCTTTAATCCAACCTAAACGTGTGGCTGAGGCAAGAGGATCATAAGTTCAAGACCAGCCTCAGCAAGTTAGTGAGACACTGTCTCAAAAAATAAGAAGGGCTGAGAATGTAGGTCAGTGGTAGAACATCCCTGGATTCAATCTCTAGTACCACATAAAAGTAAAATTTAATTTAAAAATAAAAAGAAGTTGGGCTGGGGCTGTAGCTCTGTAGTAAAGCACTTGCCTTGCATGTGTGAGGCACTTGGTTTACACCACATAAAAATAAATATACTGTGTGTTCAAAAAAATAATAATAAAAAAATAAAAGAAGTATAATTATGTATAGTGAAGACTCATTAATAATGAAGACTTTCATTATTTCACAAACATTTATTATAGTCTTCTGTGTACCCTGACATTATCTGGGTTCTGGGAGCACAGTGCTCAGCCAAACAGGGTTTCTGCCTTCAGGGAGATTCTGACTCACCAGAAAAGCCAAAGTATTTTAGGGGTGATCATCATTTTTTTTAAAGTTCTACACCAGGCAGTTTCAGAGTGTGATGGAATTACAGTGGAAAGCATGCTGTTCTGGGACAGAGTCCTTAGACACAAAGATCACATCAAACTTCATTTAGATTAGGAAGATCGCCAGTTTCCTTTCTGTTATAGACCAACACTCCATCTTTGACTCCCTTGCTGATTCCACCTATGATAGGAATTGCCTGTATAAAACTGTAATCAGTGCTGTAAGGGCAGAAACCAAAACTAATTTCTGTGCTTTGGGCCCACTTTTCAGTGACTGTGCTGGCGATATTTAATGAATTGCATGCAGATGTGGATCTTTATGCACTTCTGTTTGGAGAGAGTGTCCTAAATGATGCTGTTGCCATTGTACTGTCCTCGTAAGTAACAATGTTTCTACTAGGAAAGAGAGACTTTGGTTTCCTGCATGTTTTGGGGCAAATTCAGAAGACTATATCAAAAGTGTTAAATATTGAATTGGGTGTTTTTCTAAATGAGATTTACCAGCTTTGTTTTTAAAGTTTTATTGTTTTGTCCATTCAGCAGCAATCAGAATTCTGACGTGAGCTTAACATGGTGGCTGCAGATTAAATTAAATGAATTTGCCCTGGGCAGTGCTTGGTAGAGTGTGGATACTTCTATTTGTTGATACTTTCAGTTACAATAGTCCCCCCCTTATCCTTAGGGGATGTATTCCAAGACCCCCAATCGATGCCTGAAGCCACAGATACTACTTAACCCTATGTATACTTTGTTTATACTGTCTCTATGATATTTGTACATACATCTATGATACAGTTTAATTTGTAAATTAAAGTAAGAGATTAGCAATAATAGCTAATAAAATAGAACAATCATTACAATATGGTATAATAAAAGTTATGCAAATGTGAGCATATGTATGCATGCTCACTCTGTCTTGCTCTCTCAAAATATCTTATTGTACTTTTGCCTTTTCACTTATGGGAAGCACTTTGTGACTTCTCTTTGGCATAGTTGAGGTCCCAGCATCCCTACTCTTGGGTTGCTTGAACATAAGCAGTATGATCTGATAATCTTGAATGGCTGCTTAGTGACTAATGGGTGAATAACATACAACATGGATATATTGGACAGAGGAATTATTTATGTCCTGGGTAGGATAAAGTTGGACAGTATGAGATTTCATGTTACTCAGAGCAGCACATAATTTAAAACTTATGAATAATAATTATAAATTATTATTTCTAGAATTTTCCATTTGTATTTTCAGACTGTGGTTCACCTCAGGTTAACTGAAACTACAGGAGTGAAATAGTGAATGAGGTGTGACTGTTGTATCATCATGTAAAACCAGTACAATCTTTTTAAACTTTCTTTTTTTTTTTAAACCTCAGGTCTATTGTTGCCTACCAGCCAGCAGGGCTGAACACTCATGCCTTTGATGCTGCCGCCTTTTTTAAGTCAGTTGGCATTTTCTTAGGTATATTTAGTGGCTCTTTTACCATGGGAGCTGTGACTGGTGTTGTGACTGCTTTAATATCCTTTTTATAGTTTGTACCCCTGCCTGGGTATGCGTATGTGACATTACACTTTGAGAGTTCTCAGATCTTCCTTTCAGATCAGATTCTTAAATTGGTTGTTCCAATGGGGTGTAGTGATTCCTGAAATGTGTCCCTCAGGTGATGTACCATGGTTGGGCCCCTAGCTAAGAGTCTAAGAAAAATATTGGGAGGGAGGCTCTAATACTCTGCTTTGTCCTCACTTTTGCCTACCCCTCCTTGCTTGTGAACCAATTCGAGTATCCATTGAAGGGGGGTAAAAAAAGCTCAGAAGTATGTAGGAGACTAGGGATCAGGGACCACCAGCTTGGCAGGACTTTAGCCTCAGGTTGCTGCTACTGTCTGCTGATCAAGGCCATGTGGGTGTTAACATGATCAAAACTGGGGGCCATCCGTGGGAATTATTCTACAGTGGTCTTCCATGAGCAAATGATGGCACAATCTTTAATTTAAAATAAACAAACAACCAAAAAATGCAAAATGTAGAAAGAGCTCCACAAATGTGTTCTTTCATCATATCCTCTTTGATGAGCATTATAAATGTAGTGTGAATCACATCAATTCAATAGGCGATCAGTGTAGATAATACAAGAATTATGATAAAATTATTAATGAGATTTTGTGCATTGAATTTGTGCTCTACATCTTTGAAATATGATGAGTATTTTGCTCTTTGTACATCTCAGTTCTGACTAGTTGCATTTTAAGTGTTTAGTAGCCACATGGGGGTAATGGATACTGTGTTCAATAGTGCCGGTTTAGGTGGTCTTGTTCACTGAGGCCTTTTTGGTACCCTGGAACTTATTGCTCAGTGAACTCATTCATGAGATGGTTATATGACAGCCCCATGTTGAATGGTAGTGTCAGAAGATGAATCTGTGCTGTTGCCAAAAGGAGACACCAGCACCTGGTAGCTGATTTTAAGACTTGCACATTTCTTTCTTATTGTCCCATGTCTTCATTAGGCATAATCTGTGACCCACAGGGTTTGTATTCTTAGGCCTGCCTGCCTGAGGCCCTCCCAACTCTGCCAGAACTAACCTACCAGGCAAGCCTGAGGCCAGAAATGTATTCATATTAAGTATAATAAATAATTCACATATTGTACAAGTCACCCACTTAAAGTATAAACTTCAATAGCTTTTCTAACCATAAAGTAGATGGTCAACTGTAGTTATTAATTTAAAAAAAATCCTAGCCAGGCACCATGATGCATGAGTGTAATCCCAGCAGCTCAGGATGCTGAGGCAGGAGGATTGTAAGTTCAAGGTCAGCCTCAGCAACTTAGTGAGGCACTAAGTAACTCAGTAACACCTTGTCTCTAAATAAAATATTTTTTAAAAAGGGCTGAAGATGTGGCTCAGTGATTAAGTGCCCCTGGGTTGAATCCCTGGTTTAAAAAAATCATGGTAAAATATATAACAAAATTTGCCATTTAACGTTTTAAGCACACAATTCAGAGACAGTAAGTATATTTGCAATTTCATGTAACCATCCCCACTATGTAGTCCTAAATCTTTTTCCTCATCTCAAACAGAAACTGTGCCCATTCAGTGTTAACTCCCCATTTCCCATTGCCCTAGCCACTGGCAACTTCTTTTCTGTGGGAAAGCATAATTTTATTACCTAAAAAATATGCCTGGACTAGGGGTGTAGTTCAGTGTTAGAGCACTTGCCTAGCTTCAGCAGCAGTAGCAGCAGCAGCAGCAGCTGCCGGACCCCAAAAGAGGAGAGGAAGGCAATGGCTAGACCTTAGAGAGGAGTCCTGGGCTGATCAGAGGGTGGATCTTGGTGCCTGGAGCTGCGGTCCTTGACGGGGTGCTGACGTGACCAAGTTTACCAAGCTGCACTGCTTCCCCCTGCTGGAGACGGCGCTCTTTTTCCTGATGTCTTGGAGTACATTTCTCTTGGCAGAAGCCTGTGGTTTTACAGGTAGGTTCTCTCTTCCCTCAAGCCACCCTTCCCCTAACTGTAGTGGGGGCTGTGGGACTTTGAGTGGCCAGAAGAATTCTTAGCAGCTAGATTTTGTTGATTAACTGCTCGATGAGTATCCATACGGAGGATTGCTGACCAAGGCTAGGGTTTGGTCTTAAACATCAAGTTTCTAAAAACTACATATTTTTAAGGGTAATGTTTATTATTCCAAACTCAGCTAAGTTTTTTTTTACACATTCTAACCATAAAGTAGGTGTTCAGCTGCAATGGCTACTGAATATATTCAAATCTTATTTATATCATTCCCCAGATTACTATATCATTTTATAAACAGCAATAATCAGCAAATATGTATTCCTGTAAAGGTAATTTTGCATCTACTCAGATGAGGATGGACACATTTTTTTCATTGTTTTGTCTCTGAGCTATTTAATCATTGTTTTTTCAATACTAGGTATTTATGGTGTCAGTGAAATATACAGGTTGAGTATCTCATTATTTGGATTCTTTTAAAATTTCAGACTATTTCTATACACATAATGAGTTAGCTTGAGGAAGAGACCCAAGCATAAATTCAGAATTCACTCATGTTTTATATATACCTTATACACAGATCCAGAACATAATATTTTTAATAATTTTGGACATAACACAAAGGTTGTACAAGTCACCCACTTTATAGCTAAAAGAGCTAGGAGGCTCTTTTTTTCTTGGAGGTGCTGAATGAACTGTGTTAAGCACTTTTTTTTTTTTGGTGAGGGGTTACCAGGGATGGAACCCAGGGGCACTGGACCACTTAGCCACATCCCAAGCCCTATTTTATATTTTATTTAGAGGCAGGGTCTCATGACTTTGAACTGACTTTGAACTCACGATTCTCCTGCCTCAGCTTCCCGAGCCACTGGGATTACAGGTGTGAGCCACCACACATGGCTGCACTTGTGTTTTGACTACATCCCATCACATGAGGTCAGATGTGGAATATCCTACTTGTGGCATCATGTCAGTGCTCAAAAATTTTTGGATTGTAGAGCAGTTTAGATTTTAGAATAGGAATAGGGTTATTCAACATATGTAATATTAGTGTGGTTGATAATGTGAGTTTTTTGTCATATTCTCTCATTTGAAAGAAATAACTGATTTTTTCCACTAGGAAACTCAAGTACAGTTACTCTATATGATCCAGATAGTTACAGAGAACTTTTATCATCTTTTCAAAATAATACAATGTCTTTATATGCATCATTACTAAATGGCTTACTTCCTTAAAACTTGACTGTTCTCTGGGAAGTATAGTCCTATGTATGTCAGTTGTGTTGCACAGCAAAATGGTTACCACTAACTGGAAATCTAGATCATCAAGCCTTGGACAAATGGAATAGTATTCTCAGTCTATTTTGTCTGAGGCCCCAGACTATTAAAAAACATGAAGCATTGGTTTGAAATGAAATACACTCATTCTAAAAACAGACATGAATATGACAAAAGTGTATGAATGGCCCTCGCAGCCTCTTTGGGGAAATGAATGCTATGGTATATGCCAACTACAGATGGCAAATTTAGAGAGAGAAAATGTGCATAACATTGGAGAAATGGAACGAGTTTGGGGACCTGGCCTTGAAGGAAGGGAGGGCAAAGTTGGGAGAAGGAAAGTTTGATATTACTGGTGAGGAGCAAAGGGAGCTTTCAATAATAGGAAATCTCAAAAATATTTTTGGAAGTTGAAATATGCTAGGTTTGCCTACTACCTTCACTTTTTGTTTCAGCAGGGGTTTTTTCCTGCCTCTTTTTTCTCCATTGACTAAAAAAACCCCCAAATCTCTCCTTACAGGTGTTGTAGCTGTTCTTTTCTGTGGGATCACACAAGCTCATTATACCTACAACAATCTCTCAGTGGAATCAAGAAGTCGAACCAAGCAGGTAAGACAGGGCCTTGGTATTGAGCGTTGCCTGGTAATACAAGGAAGGGGAGTGCAAGGGTTTACAATCTCCTTTTCCCTTCTCCACGCAGCTGTTTGAGGTGTTACACTTCCTGGCAGAGAACTTCATCTTCTCCTACATGGGCCTGGCGCTGTTTACCTTCCAGAAGCACGTTTTCAGCCCCATTTTCATCATTGGCGCTTTTGTATCCTTTTCTCATTCTACCATTTTCTACATGGAGAGGTGACCACAGCTGGGGAAGCTCTGCTAGTGCTCTTAATTGTTATTGTTGTTATTTTATCTGTTTCAGATGCAGGAATAGGCCAGTTCTACTGATACTTTTTACTGTGAGAAAAAGAAGGCCTAAGTGGTGCTTCATAAAGCTAAATGTCTTTTATTTTAAATACTAGTATTTATGTTTAGGTCATCCTTCCTGCATTTTCTGTAAAAAGGATGGCCTCAGTGTTAAGCTGGGGCTTGAGGGGTGATTTTTGTTTTGAGTTCCCTTTTGGGTAAGTCTAAAAGTCAGCAGCAATATCAATCTCCACAATTATTTTTGATATTTCATTGTCATGTGAATTCTAAAACAGGGCCTTCTATGATTTGGGTGGCTGGAAAGTTGCAATCTACTTGCTCTCAACTACCCACCTATCGTGGGCAGCCTTTCTTCACACTGCCCTGGGGTGCTTACAGGCTACACTCTCACCCAAGCTACCCTGCTGCTATGGATCACAATGTGAAAGTCTCCTTTGCTTTTCCCAAAAAAGAAAGGAAGGAAGGAAGTGATGGAAGGAAGAGAAGATACTTGATTTCTTGACTTGGCCCCATTGTGAATATAGTTTTGGAAAGGGAGACATGGTTTTGAGAAGGGAAACACAGGTTTGGGGATGGCTTTTCTTGAGCAAGGAGGAATTCGAGCGCCTAGCAATTAATATAGTAGCTGAAGGTTTCACTCACTAGGTTTCAAATACTATTGTTTTCATTGGGGTGAACTTTTCTGGGGCTTGATTTTAAGATCCTGAGCAGAAGTCTCCTGTTGTTGGACATTTACTTTCACCTTTTTTGAGGCCTCAGAGTAATCTTTAGCTCTTGAAATTTTGGCAGCAAGGAGTGATTTTCTCTTCTGGGCTTTTTATTTTAATTGGTTGTTCAAAACATTACAAAGCTCTTGAAATATCATATTTCATACATTAGATTCAAGTGGGTTATGAACTCCCATTTTTTTTACCCCAAATACAGATGATTGACACTCCTCAAGCTGCTAGATAGCAGTAATGTTGAAATCCTTCTAGTTACAGTGTCCTATGCTCATACTGGTGGCTCATTTCTTAGATTTACACATTCACCAGACAAATAGCTCAAAATCTGAATGATCAGTGTTTTTCTTTTTCATTAAGAAGGAGAGGACATGTTGTTTTGATTTGTATTCCTTGCATGCTATCCTGTGAGAGCACAGCCCATGTTTACAGATCAGGGCCTGTGGCCGGGTGAGCAGAGTCCTCTGGAAATCCTAAAGGCTGCTGACCACTTAAGATCTTCTGCTTCATCTCTGGAGTAGAATTTCTTTTATGAACACTACCTGTTTCCTTTTGTTTAAAAAAAGGAAAGAAAGAAAGGAAAAGAAAAAAGAAAAACAGTGCCTTACCCTGGAGGAAACAGAAGATAGTTCCGCCCTGGCTTCTGTCTGAAACAGCTGCAGTTCCTGCAGCTGGCGCTTTGCCTAAACGGAAGCTCCCCATTCCTCTGGCTCCCACAGGGGGTTTCCTTCTCTGACCAGGGGAGTGAGAAGCTCTCTCTGTTGAGTACTGTCTAAACTTGGCAAGTGACAGATGACTGGTTTCCCTGAATTCTTTGCTTTGCACAGTAGACTTCCTTTTCCACACTCTTCCTTTTCTGTGTTTTATATCTCAAAAAGACATTTCAGCCATTTAGGTAAAGGAATCTCCCTGGGTTGATTCTTATGAGTTATCTGATCATCTCTTTGTTGTATAAATACTTTTAATGTTCCACATCTCTTATTTATAGGTTCTTCCTGGGCATTGAAGTTCCTGGTGTTTACTTGCAAGTGAAGTTTGCAAGCTCTTACCCAGAAAACTTCCTCTTTATAGTTGTTCCAGGATTAGTAATCTTTCTTTCTTGTGATTTTTCTTGCAGTAGAGCCCAATGCACAATTTGCTTTTATTAACTCCTCATTTCTGCCATGGTACTTGAACTTATTTTAGACTCATTTTTAGACAGATTGAAGAATTAATCAGTACCATTTGAATTAAGTCAGAAAGTTATAACAGTGTGTTTAACAAGCTAGAAATTATCTCTATGAATGGGAACCTGGGGAACATTGGCCAAATGATACCCATTTTTTTGATGAGTGATTTGTCTAGGGGGGAACTACACAGCCTGGCTTCTTTGGGTAGTTCCCTGGATCATAACATTCCTAAAATTCTCTGATCAACCAATTTGTGTGAAAGTGTCTTTCTGGAAACCTGTTGGTCCCTTAACCTTCATCCTGTTGGTCAGGTTGCTATCTTCCTGGGCAGAGCTGCACATATCTACCCACTCTCCTTCTTCCTGAACTTGGGCAGAAGGCATAAGATTGGCTGGAATTTTCAACACATGATGATGTTTTCAGGTAAAAAAAAAACAAATATATGTAATGAAAATTAATTTTATTTAGCAAGCAATGATAGTATGATTAAAATATAATCAGTGAGGTTCATAAAAAGATATTCAAATTTCTAGTTCTTTTGTATTACCTACAATGCAGAGCAGGACAGATATATATGTTCAACTGAGTTAATATTGATTTGAAAACCTTACTACCAAATGTGAACATTCTCCCTATCGGTATTTGCATATTTACCACCCAAGGGAAGTAGAAATATATAAGTATTCAAAGTGCTCGATTGTTTTCTAGCAGTTGTTTATAACACACAAGCTTCTTAGAAGGACTCCAGACCTAAAATTAGATGGAAAATATCTAGTGATGAAACAAAGCATGGGTCACATCACTCAGCACCTCTCAGCTACAGTATCCTTTCTTGTAAAGTAAAGTAATTGAACCAAGTAGCATAAGTCCCTCTTTGTTCCGTCTTTCTATGGAGCAAGAGGAATAAAATGCACTCAAAAAGCAAGATAAATCCAAAGCTGGATTTAACAGCTGTGACAGTTCTGTTTGATTTACACTGTTGTAACCCTTTTCACTATGAAGCTGAGAGATTCAGAAAAGCCACTGAGGGGACAAAGGGCAATAAAGAAAGATGTAGAGGTAAAGAAGGTAGAAAGCAATTGCCATGAATAGATGATAAAGTGAGAGTGGTAAACATCATATGAGACCCAGGTTAGAGCAAGCATCTCATCACACCAAAGACAGAAGATATTGGGGGCAAAAGACCATCGGGACCCTTAAAGGTACCTCTGACTTGTGGGGTATGGAGAGAGGGGAAGTACCAGAGGACAGAGTGGGTAGTAGCCACTTTACTGGGATGTAGTGGTTTTAGGGGGGCTCACAGAGATGCCTGGAGCCTAATAAAATCATACTGAAATGACACCAACAGGCAGTGCTCCATACATCTCTCTTTCTGTCCCAAGCAAGCTTGCCATGAGCATGAATCTATTCCCTGCCATATTGATTGCCTTTCACTCTGACAAACGTTTTTAGATGTCCTCTTTTTATAAGCCAGAGTTCTAGTTTATGAAAGATACAAAGACCAGCCTCCTTTAAGGAGAGGTCACAGTCCTCTGGGGGTGTGGGGAGACAGATGCACAAAGAGCTAATTTCCTCTCAAGAAAGGATGACAGCTTGTGCAAAGATGTGTAAAAGACAGGACAAGAAGAGGAGTATTCAAGGCCATTTTCACAAAAGGGGTGGCCTTCAAACTGGCCTTGGAAGAAATGTAATTTCAGGAGGCAGCAGGTGGAAAGACAGATAAGCATTGCTCTATGTGCTTTTTTTTCAAGGAAGGACAGCAGTTGTGTTGAAATGTCAGACACATGGAGCAATGCAGAGAGTGAGGTTCCAAGGGAAAAATGCATCTGGTGATCCGAAGCCTTTTGTTTTTATCAAACTTGCCTGTTGGGCTTGTTAAAGCAGATTGTAGGTTCTACTACCAAGGGTGTCTGATTCTGGAGGTGAGCCCCAAGAATTTCCATTTCTAGCACATTCTCAGCTGCTGCTGCTGGGTAAAGGACAGTACTTCAAGAACCACTTTTGTTCAGAGGAGACCACAGAAGCTCCAGAGTTGTCCTAAAGCGCTTGGGTTTTACTCAAGGGCAACAGGAAAACATTGAGAGCTTGATGAAGAAGGGCAGTGACAAGCTTCTGCTTACATATTAGGAAGATGCCAGTGGACAAAAAGAAGACAAATTGGAGATAACTGTCATCTAGGCAAACTTCAAATAGATGAACATTATCTTCTTTACCAAAAGATTGAGATATACACAGTACTATTTAAAGATGCCACCCAAAATATTTTACACTGGGAGAAATTTGGCTATCCAAAGGAACCTATTCTTCAAGGCTTTGAAATGCCTGAGGTTCCCCTTTCATATTGCTTATAGTTTACCTATTAAATTAAAGAAAGATGTCATACATTATCTTTCCCTAGCCCCCCAAATTCTCTTCTTGGTGGCAACATTCCTGTTGAGGCTTAAATATTGACTGATGACCTTGTTGGCTAAAGAGTGATCTAGCTGTATCTAAATAATTCACAGGACAGAGTAATAGAAATCATCAACTTTTTAATTTTTTTTTAGTTGTTGATAAACATGAAGTATCTTTATTTATTTTTATGTGGTGCTGAGAATTGAACCCAGTGCCTCACATAAGCGAGGCAGGTGCTCTACCACTGAGCTACAGCCCCAGCCCCAACTTTTCTATTTTTTAAGGTAACTTTTATTGAGTCACTCCTTTGTGAATTGTAGTGAAGGTCTCATATTAATTGTGAAATTATTGGGAAAGGGGAAATTTATAAACAGATATGATAGGTCTAACTTTTTCTTCTCTTGTATAATGTACACATTGTCTTGTACTTGGTAAGTAAGAATTTATACTAGATGAGTACTAAAGACTGTGAATTTTGTCTTTACCATAAAACAAATTATGAGCATGGCATGAGAACAGAACAGAGGAGCTTAGAAAGTAAACTCTAAAACATGAAAATGTTGGTTAATCTTAATGTACCTCAAGGATCAACAAAGTACAGCTCCAGGGCTAAATCTGGCTGTTGATAATTAAATAAACCTGTTTTTATATACCCCACCAGTTCAGAATTTCTTTTATAGATGAATATTTACAATCTATTTGAGGAGAGGGAACAGTAACTTTGAATCAAAATATCCCTCTGCAAAGAATTCTATTCTTTTCATTAGTAGACCTTCATTACAACAAAGTGTACCCAATTGTTCTTATCATATTGTTAATTTTAATCAATAATAATTTGTAGCAACCTGTTTTCTATCTTTTATATAAATACCTATAATAACATCCTTGATTTGGTCTCTTGGTCCACCAAACCTGAAGTATTTAATGTCTGGCCTTTTAAAGAAAGAGTTGGCAACCCCTGATATAAGTCAGGCTATATTTTCACTTCTCTGCATGGCTTCCCCCTTTGCTAAGGAAATGCTGCACTGTTTTCCACTAATGTACATTTGACATATTCAGAGCTAGCATGTGTTTTAAGTTTATGTTGACTGGGTAGTGTTTTGATCATAGACTAAGAGAATGTGTGTTATTAACATTTATTTATACTTCTTTTTACTTTTGGTTACTAGCAGGGAAATTATTTAGACAATAAGTGTGTCAGTATCCTAAAATGTGCTGTACAAATTGATGTAGTATTTTTCTCATTGTATTTGGCAATTTTGCAAAACATATCTTCAAAGAGGAGACAGCAATATATGTTTCAGGTTTTTCTTTCTAAGTAAAACAACTTGGCCCCCAAAGCACAAATGACTGGAGTTTATTACCCATAAGTGGCAGTACTGAATTTTGAGAAGACATTGCCAGTTGTCTTTATCACTAAGAGATCTTCCTCTTTGGTCCCTTCAGGCCTCAGGGGAGCCATGGCCTTTGCATTGGCCATCCGTGACACAGCATCCTATGCTCGCCAGATGATGTTCACGACCACCCTCCTTATTGTCTTCTTCACCGTCTGGATCATTGGCGGAGGCACAACCCCCATGTTGTCATGGCTTAATATAAGGTCAGTTTGGAACCAAGGCCAGTTTTATATCTCAATATGTCAGTTTCTACTGTTCTTGAGAATGTTCAGTGTGCCTTGCAGGTTGTATGCCACAGCTTAGTTCATGAAGGTTTTTAGTCTTTTGTTTTGGAGGGGGATTAAATTAAGTTTGGAGTAATGGGGCTTTCCAACAGAAACAAAAAATGTCGTCATTAAAACTTTTGTCAGTACAAACACAGAGAATTAGAATCACCCGGATTTTGCTAGAGCAGTGATATCAGGGCACAAATTTAGAGTGTTAAAACTGCAAGAAAGAGAATAGACCTGTAGCCTCTGACAGTCTTCAGTATTTCATGTCCCTTTGCAATGAAACCTGAAGGATAAGCTCATCAGCCAGAAATAGAATTAGAGTTTTGTTTTAGCATGAGATTGTATGCTGTGTCTCTTCTTGCTTGAGTGCACAAAAGGTTGACATTTCCTGTGTAACTCTCATTTGTTGCAGCTGTGTGTCAGTAAAGAGGAACACTGACCCGAGTTTGGTTTTCTAAGAGCATTTGAACTCCAAACTGTGTTTGCAAGCTCCAACACCAGCATTGGAACATTTCCAGAGACCCACAGCTTAACTTGGACTCTGGTTTAAGACAAGCCCCTCTTGCCTTTGAAACTCAGTTTTTCTCAATGTTAAATGAAGGCACTCTGCCACATTACCTCCAGGGCTCTTCTGCTCCAAGTTTTGCAGTTTCAGATTTACAGGGAATGCCATGATGGTGATGGGAACCAAGAGATAATTGTGTACTAAGATGTGAGGAATCATTCTGTGAAAAGCCACCAGGTGGCAATGTTTTTCCTTTCTCTGCTGGCTTTTAATTTGCATTACCTTCTCCAGATGTAAAATAGCTTGGAGGAGAAGAAAATGAACAAAGATCTTAGAGCCATCCTTAGAGTGAGGGAAAAAAAGTAGAACTTGAAAGAATAGCCTCTTCTACCTGAGGCTTTTGTATTGATGGCAGGTAGGGATTCCTGGGCTTGAGCACTACCAGCTACCATTTCTGGGTTAGGATGTCTCTACTTACAGATAAAGGTGGGAGCTTATCATTGATAGTTATAATCATCATTACATTTGTGTTGCAGGTATTGTTTTAGATATCATGCATGTACTAAGATAATTCTCATAACATTCCTGTAAGGGAGATATACTATTATTTCTATATTATTGGGGAAACTGAGATGCAGAGCAACAACTTGCCCAAGGTCACAGAGCTTTAAGTGAATGAAATAGGATTTGAGCTCAGGCAGTCTTACCAGAGTCCACACGCTTAAAAACTGTGTTGTACGTCCTGTTAAAAGGGTTGCTGTGCTAACAACTACTTTGATGTCATGAAATTTGGAATGGTTAAAATTTCAGCTTCCTGACATGAATCTCAAGGGTTAGATGAAATAAAATAATCCATTCTGGGGAACATAAACCTGAGGAAGAAAATTTACAGTCTTGTGGTTTTAAACTTGAGACATAAGATAGTACCATCTTTGGGTTGCGGCTGTGGCTCAGAGGTAGAGTGCTCACCTACCATGCATGAGGCACTGGGTTTGATCCTCAGCTCCACATAAAAATAAAATAAAGATATTATGTCTACCTATAACTAAAAAATAAATATTATAAAAAAGATAGTACCATCTTTGTTTTGTGTAGCAAGATGAGGGTAAGAAAGGGGGATTGGTTCTGCACACAGTTTAGAACCTTTACCTTAGGTCATCTCTGAGATTATTTCTTGTTCCTGTTTGTCTGATCACCCAGTAAGTGCCCTGGATGCTCAGAGCCTGATTAAATCATATTTGATTTTCTAAGTCTTTTTCTATTTCCACCCTCATCCAAACATATGCAGGACCAAATAATTTTCTACAGAGTAGAGAGTAGATTTGTTTGTATTTTTCATGACCCTTTTCAAAAAGTGGGTCATTAAAACAATCCTAGCCAGAGCTGAGAACATGAGCAGCTTTCCTTCAGCTACATAAAATGTAGGTAAGGGAAGGATGTTGAACTAAGCTAGAAATGGATAGGAAGGAGGTAGCAAGAATTGCTACTGAGCGAGCAACAAACAGTATTTGCTCTAGGAGTCATTTTCTGACATCTTACTGTGTACTAGGTGCTATTTTCTAAGTGCTTTCTGTATATAGTTGGCCCTCATTTTTGTAGGTTTCAATGAACTATGGATTGAGAAATTTTGGGAAATATTGTTTCTGTGCTGAACAGGTGCAGACTCTTTTCTTGTCATTATTTCCTAAATATATAGTATGACAACAATTTACATAGCATTTGAATTATATTTGGTATCATAAATAATCTAGAGATGATTTAACCTATCTGGAAAGGTGTGCATAGGTTTTATGCAAATAAGATGTTCTTTCCTATGAGGGACTTAAGCATCTGAAGATTTTGTTATCCAAGAGTGTCCAGGAACCAATCCCCTGTGGATACTGAGGAATGACTGTATTATGTTAACATCTTTAATAATGCAATTATGTATTTATAAATATACACTTTTATTCTGGTGTTGTGAATATTCTTTGAATGAGGAAACCAATACATAAAGAGGTTAGGTAGCCTGGCTTTGGTCTCATAGTTACATGATGACAGGTCAAGGTCTTATGCAACTCTGAAGTCTGTGCTCTTATTTAGTCTTCTAGAATACCTGGGTAAAGCAACAGATTCCGATTTTGTGGGGCCTAGAGCTTTTATACAATTTAGGGAGCTCCTTTACTTTGCTCCTACAAAATCAGGTATAAGTTAAATATTTGCTGAAAATATATAAAGGTGAATTTTGCTGAATAGAATGAGAAATAAATTATAGTATGTTTCAAAGTTTTCAAAAGTTAATAATAAATATAAATATCAGTTTCCAGAAAAATAATAGAACGTTTTATTTATTAGCTGTCTGACAGCTGTACAAGTTGAGCATCTCTAATCAGAAAAATCCAAAATCATAAATACTCCAAAATCCAAAACATTTTGAGCACTGTGACTCTCAAAAACATTCAGATTTTAGAGCATTTTACATTTCATAATTTGAGGTTAAGGATACTCAACTAGTAAAGTCTATGCAAAATTTGAAAATCCAAAAACTCTAAACACTTCTGGTCCTAAGCATTTCAGATAATACTAATACAGATAATGTGTAATACTTTTTTCCTACTTTAAAAAATCTGCCTACTTTTTGATCCCCTTTTCATATGATAATTTTATTATAATATATAGAGAGAATAGAAATATAAATCAGTCTTTTCTCTCAAGCATAGGTGGTCAATATTTGCTATTATTTGTAATTTGTATTTTAGAAAGCATTCTTTCAGCTTTATTACTTTTTATTGGTAATGTCACGTAACATTTTGAAATTGTCAAATTTAGGAAAACCTCAATCAAAATTTTCTCATATGTGAGCCAGAAGATTTGAGGGCATAAAATTTTTTATGCAGCATCATTTTTAAAAACCTTATTATATTTTGAAATATTTACAGATTCACAGGACATTGCAAAAATAGAGCCAAGAGATGCCATATGTGTTTCACCCATTATTTTTCTGTTCATTACATCTTGTATACCTATGGTACAATATCTCAGGAGCTGGCATGGGTTCAATGTGTGTGTATGGTTGTATGCCTACTTTTTAAAATTCATATTTGATTTTCTAAAGACTATCTTTGTATACCTTCTTTGGTAAAATATCTGTTCAATGTTTATCACATCTAGGCTCACATAAGCATCATCTGCACTCAAGATAAAGAACTTTTCCATCAGCATGAAGATGTCCCTAGTTTCACCCTGTATTTCATATTCACCTCCTTATCCACCACCATCCATAACACCTGGCAACCTCTAATTTGTTCTTCATCTTCAACCTCTAATTTGTTCTTTTGTCATTTGAGAACATTATATAAATGGAACCATACAGTATATAATCTTTTGAGATTGACTTTTTTTTTCCTACTCAGCCTAATGCCCTGCAGAGGTTGTCTCATGTATGAATGGTTTATTCCATTTTATTGCTGAGTAAAAGTCCATGGTATGGATATACCATACTTTGTTTAACCATTCACCCCTTAAAGGAAATTTGTGTACTTTCTGGTTTTATGGCTATCATAAATAAAACTACTGTGAATATTTGTGTATAGTTTTTTGCATTGGCATGTTTTTCCTGTCTCCAAGATACATGTACAGGAGTATGACTGCTAGGTCAGACAGTAAATGTGTGTTTAAATTTCTAAGAGCCAGGCGTGGTGGTGCACACCTATAACCCAGCAGCTTGGGAGGCTGAGACAGGAGGATTGCAAGTTCAAAGCCAGCCTCAGCAATGGCAAGGTGCTAAGCAACTCAGTGAGACCCTGTCTCTAAATAAAATACAAATAGGGCTGGGGATGTGGCTCAGTGGTTCAGTGCCCCTAAGTTCAATCCCTAGTACCAACAACAACAACAACAAATTTCTAAGAAATTGCCAGTTTTCCAGGGTGGCTGTACCATTTTATATCCCCACCAGCAGTATACAAGAGATCCAGTTTCTTAGCATCCTTGCCAACACTTGGTATTGCCACTATTTTTCATTACATCTATTCTAATAAGTTTGTGGGGATAGGTCATTGTGATCTTAATTTGCATTTCTCCTCTCATGGCTAATGATGTTGAACATCTCTTCATGTGTTTATTTTCCATAAACATACTTTCTTTGGTAAAATATCTGTTCAATGTTCAAGTTTTTTGTCCATTTTTAATTGGATTATTTATTTTTTATTGATTTTTGATAATTCTTCATTCTAGATGCTAGACTTTTGTCAGGTATATGATTTCTAAATATTTTCTCCCAGACTGTAGTTTGTCTTGTTATCCCTTTAATAGAGTTTTAGAGCAGAAGTTTTAATTTTGATGATGTATAATCTTTTTTTTTCTTTTACAAATCATGCATTTGGTGTCATATCTGAGGACTCTTGACCAAGCCCTAAGTCCTGAAGGTTTTCTTCTGTGTTATTTCCTTAAAGTTTTTTTTTTAATTGTGTGGTTTAATAAAATGACTCAAAGTTACTTTTTTGTAAAAGAAGTGAGGTTAGGTTGAAATATTATTTTCTTTACCCATGACTACCCAGTTGTTCTAGTATGATTTATTAGAAAGACTATCTTTACTCTTTTATTTTACTTCTTTGTCAGAAATCAATTGTCTATGTGCATTGGAGCCATTTATGTTCTGCTCCATTGATTTGTTGGTCTGTTCTTCCTGTAATACCTTGCTGTTTTGAGAACTATAGTTAATACAGTAAGCCTTGACATTAGGTAGAGAAATTCTGCCCACTTTCTTATTCTTCTTTTATTAGAATTGTTATAGTTATTCTAGTTCTTTTGCACATGAATTTTAGAATGAGCTTGTCTGTATCAAAAAAAATCTGTCTGGGACTTTTCTTAGGAATTACATTAAACCTATATATGCCAGTTTGGGGAGATTGATATCTTCATTACGTTGTGTCTTTCAATCCATGAACATAGTATGTTTCTAAATTTACTTTGACCTTCTTGGATTTCTGTCATTAGTATTTTGTATTTTCCACTGTACAAGGCCTTTACATGTTTTGTTAGGTTTTAGTATCCTGTCACCTTGCTGAACTTACTTATTAGTTCTAGGAAGACTTTTTTTTTTCATAGAGTCTTTGAGATATTCTACGTAGACCATCTTGTCACTTGCAAATAAAGACAATTTTATTTCATCTTTTCCAACCAGTATGTCTTTTCTTTTCTTGCCTTATTGCTCTAGTTGACTTTCTATTCCGTATTTATTAATTATTTTATTGATCTTGTTCCTGATCTTAAGAGGGAGCATTCAGTCTTTCCCCACTAAGTGTATTGCATTAATTATAAGATGTTTTTTTTTTTTTGTAGATTTTCATCAGGAAATTTCTATCTCCTTTTTTGTTTCTGAGAGTCTTTGCAATTAATAGGTGTTGAATTTTGTTACTTTTCCTGCATCAGTTGAGATGATCCTATTATTTTTCTTAATTAATCTATTACTATGGTGAATTACATTGATAATTCTCAAATATTGAACCAGTATTGCTTCTCTGAGATAAATCTCACTTGTTTGTGGTACATTGCTTTACATTGTACTACATTCTGTAAGCAAATATTTTGTTAAGAATTTTTATTTCTATATTCATGAGGGACATTGATCTGTAGTTCCCTTTTTTGTACTTCCTTTATCTGGTTTTGGTGTTAGGGTAATATGATTTCACAAAGTAAGTTGGGGCATGTTCCATACTCTTATAGAATTGGTATTATTATTAGTTTTTTGAATGTTGAGTAGAAATCAAATCTCTAGTGAAATCATTTAGACATGGAGGCTTCTTTCCTAGGAATTTTTAGATTGTGTAGTTATAGGGCTATTCAGATTATATATTTCACACTGCATTTTGGTGGATTGTGAAATTAGTCCATTTTATCTGATTTGTCATGTTTGTCTTATTCATAATATCATTCCCTTATTATCCTTTTGATCTCTTTGGGGTTTACACTGATATCCTCTGATTTATTCCTGACACTTTATGATATTTCATTCCTTTAATGTATACTTTCTCTCTTTTTTGTCAGTCTTGCTAGAGGTTTATTGATTTATTGATCTTTTCAAAGAACCAACTATTTATTTCATTGATTTTTCTGTATTCTTTTTCTAATTTCCATTTAATTGATATTTGTTCCTGTCTTTATTATTTCCTTCCTTTTGTCCAACTCTACCCATATAGCATAATGAAGCAAAGTGTGCCACCGTTGAAAAATACAGAATCGATTGGTTAATTGCATTTTCTAGATGTGTATAAATAGTGTTTGTGTAAATGTAGAAACTGGCATTTACAGAGATTACATCAAAAGAAATTCCCTTAAAAATAGGGTAATGAGACTGACTCATTGGTTTCTTTGGCTTCTGGTGTTACTTGATGGCCATGAATCATTTTTGTAACCCAGGTTCTTATTTTAAATTGATTCAGAAACCCCCTAATGTTCAGTGTGGTGTTTTGACCCCTGTGAACTCAGTAGGATTAGTACCTACTTGTTCCTTATTTCTCCAGCCTGCTGAAAGAGGCCCTGATTAACTGTTAAGTAATTGTTCAGAAGTTGGAAGCTCAGAATAGGTCTTGGAATTCCATCAGAAATAATTAGGATATGGCCTTGATTCTTACCCATGGCTTAATTCAAGTCTCTGTATAAATGAATACAACTACAAATCCAAAGCCAGGTCACTGCTTTCTATAAGTCCAACTTATATGTTTTAAAAACTGATGTTTTATGATTAATATTTTAAAACATAATGGCAGAATGCTCCATTTTTTTCTGTTAATCCATAAACTACATAATATTTTTCTTAGTCTCTTGAGTAGGTGTTGTTATTCACAATTTTGGCAATTTAGACAAATAATTGTGGGATTATTTTAGCAGATGAGCCTTATTACATTGTGATGGCATAGTGGCTGTCCTTTTAGATTTCCTAACCTCAAGTGACACAAGTGAAGTGATAGAGATGTTGGGGTGGGATGGGGTGATAGAGATGATGGGGTGGGGAGGTGATAGAGAGATGATGGGTTAAAGTGGACCTTTGTATCCTAAGGGCAGTAATGTAATCATCCAAGAACAAGTAAGAACACTGGCATAATCCTGTTAGACTAAGAACTTTTGGTAAAGAACTTTGCGAGATAATGTGAGGAATAAAGGTAAGAAGGAGCTCTGAGCTCTTTATGTAATAGCATTTGTTAATGGATATTTTTAGAATTTACAGATGCTACCTTGTACTCAAAAACAGTGTCCTATAAGGGGAAGAGCTGAGGTTCTGGGGTCCAACTGCCTATGTTGGAGTCTTGCCTCCACCATTTTTATCTTTGTGACCTTGGGCAATTTATTTCATCTCTAACCCTTGTTTCCTCAACAAATTTTAAATAGGGACAATCATAGCATGATGATAAAAGTAATTATGTAGATGTGATGAAGAATTCTTTCATTAGAGGATGGGGATATGACAGTGGTAGAGTGCTTGCCTAATGTGTGCAGGGCCCTGGGTTCAATCCCCAGAACTGAAAAAAAAAAGACAAAGAAAAATTATCTCATTAAATGTGCCATTTGACACATGGTAAGTACTTAGCATATTTTAGCTGTTATGTTTTCCGATGTTACTGTTATTACAATTACTCACACAGCAATGAATCTTACATTAAATAAATCCTGGCTTGTTTTTCTGGTATTTGTTATATTTCTTAATGCTATAGTAATATAGAGTGGTTCAAGTCACATTTTGAACATGTAAACATAGAAAGATCTACCTTAAGAAGTATTATGTTGTTACTAGCATATTTCAGGAAACGTAAGTAGCATGAGTATGTGGGCATTGCTGGGCACAGTGTTTCTCAACCATTTTTTCATTGTTTCTCTCCCTAAAGAACCTTAAAATTTTTTCTTCCCAATTATTTCCTCCAATAAAATGTTAATGCCACAGATCTGCTATATATCTGTTTCTGTATTATAGCCCTTGGATGGCCACAAACCATTATACTATCTAAGATTTTTTTGTCCCACAAGAACCAATTTTCATATCCACAGGAACAACATCACCCCCATTGAGAATACATGATTTAGTGCAGTGGTTTTTAACTCAGGGCAATTTTACCACCCAGGAGACATTTGTGAACATCTGGAAACATTTATGGCTGCCACAATGTGGGGTGGGTTGCAGGGGGCTGCTGTTGTGGGTAGAAGCTAAGGATATTCCAGTGCACAGGAGGATGGTCCCCCACAACAGAGAATTATCTAGTCCCAAATGTCAACAGTTTTGAGTTTGCCAAACCCTCTCTAATTTATATGATAGTCAAATTTAATGCACTTTGAATAGCCCAGAAATCATTAAGGAAGTCACTGTGAAAGTGGACCATGTCAAGTCAAAGGCCACAAGGAAAAGGGAATTGTAGAAATGGAGTTCCTGACCTTCAGGTTGAAACTGTGGGCATTGTGGTTTGCTTATCTAGAATAAAGGGTCATCTGTGTCTTTTTAAGTATTGTTATTCTTATCCAATAATAAAATGGTTTTTGCTCTGTCAAATATGTGTAAAAATATGTTTAAATGCTTTCAAATATGTGTTTAGTAATGATTAACTGTTTTCTATTTTTGGTATGGGCATATCTTTCTTTATGAAATAGATGAATGCCTGGAAAACTGTATAAATTCATTTTGTATAAGATGTATTTAATTCCTCTGGCATTACTACGTTATATTTCAAGAGACTTAACTTCATTCTTAGTTGATTCTTATTTGACCTGGCTTCTAACATTGTTGATTTACATTTAAATTTAGCAGCTCCTCTGCCTCTCTCTGGGTTTTAGAGAATGGGGACAGTTTAAGAGGGATATGTAGCTTAGTAGCAGAGTGCATGCTTAGCATGTAAGAAGCCCTGAGTTCAATCCCTAGCAACAAAAACAAGAAGGGTATGGATTTATATAGAAAGTGAGATGGCCTATTCTTTCATGCACATGGTCCAGGTCATATGTCCAGGACTCATGGCACCCCTGGTATCCCTATCACACTCACATTCCCTTCTTTGCTGCCCAGAGTTGGTGTGGAGGAGCCCTCCGAAGAGGACCAGAACGAACACCGATGGCAATACTTCAGGTGACACAAGGGCATCCTCAGAAAACAATTAACTGGGCCTGGCTTTTTTCCTTTCTAACCTCAGATATTTCTCTTTATGCTGATTGTTTCTTTTAGCCAAGGGGCTGGAGGTTAAATTAATTCTAATCATTCTTTCCCCCCTTTCTCTGGATTGATTGATGTGTCTCAGTGTTGCTGGGATTCTTTCCCCTTTCCCCATATTTTGGACAGTGTATTGTCAACATGAAAGCCTGAGTTGGCAGGTGTCTCCTTTTGGTACAACTGAATTTAGTGTTAAGAACAGCTCATTTTCAGTGACACACTTTTTCTGTAACATCCTGCTTATGATCTACTAAATAAGGTTTGTGACTCATATAGGGTACCAGAATTTCCTATTTCAGTCGTGAGTGAAGCGTGACTTCTTTCATCCTAACTAAATACACACGTTCTTGTGTTTTTTAGAGTATGTATTTGTGTGCTTATACCTTCTCATGGTGATTCAGAAGGTATGAAGAATATTTTTAAAACAAAATGATAAATATCCCTCTAAATGCAATTTGTTTCTCAGTATCCATTCAAGTTTATGATATAATTATGCTTAAGGGTGGTGATGTAGGAACAAACAGAATACAAACTTTAGTGTTTCTTCTTTCCTTTCTTTAGCTCTAACTGGTATGCTTTCTTCCTGATCTGATTCTCAGTACTGGTCGATAGATAAAATGCAAAATATGCTTGAACTCTGTTCTTGGCATTGTAAAACTATTTTACTTCCTGGAGGCAGTGGTAAAAGCAGCAGTACCATGATTCTTGGGATATCACGTCTGAGATATACACTGTAATGACATGCATGAAATTAACTATAATCGTTAAGCTCACTGGGTTCTACTATTAAAGACACACACACACACACACACACAAGTTCATTTTTGGATACCTCACTTTAGGTACCCTATAAGTTACAGATGAAACTCTTTCCTTTGGCACATCCTATATTTATTTTGAGACACGGTCTCACTACATTGCTGAATCTGGTCTTGAACTTGGGATCCTCCTGCCTCAGCCTCCTGAGTCACTGGGATTACTGGTGTGCACAACCACACCTGGCTGAAACATCCCATCTTTAAGAAGGAAGTATAAGTTATTATACCTGGGACACGAGGGAATTCAGAATTATGACTTGATGTTCAAGGTTTTATATGAAGGTGTGGTACAACTCGGTGGGGGAGCACATGCATAGGGTACTGGCACCACCTCCAAAATTTAAATTAAAAAATTAAAGTAGAATACTTCTAAAGCTTCTGAGATTTCAAGACATTTTTTCTGTTAACCAGAATGAACAAATTATTATACCAGAAGGAAGTTATTAATTTTTGGTATTTATTCATTCATTCATTCCAGAATGAGCACATCAGTTTGATTGCTTTATTTTCTCTTTGGTGTAGGAAATTTCCACATTTGTCTAATTCTTAATGCAAGTAAGTATAATTCAGTTTATTCTGAAAGAAGAGACTGTTATGTGTGCTCCAGTGAGCTCAGCCTACATGTATCAGGGGAATGCTAAAATATTATATAATAAAGCAGAACAAAAGTTCCATATTTATATAATGTCCTAGGTCAAAAAAGCCTTGCATCAGGTCAGGAGAGAAAATATATATATTATGAAGTCACCTGAAACTAGGAATTTCAGAAAGTTAGGGGACCCTGACAAGTCTTCTGAGGCTTTAAAACTGAGATTAAAATCATCTATCTGGTCTTTCTTGCTGCCTAGCACCACATCAAACACCCTGGCCCATTGCTTTACCTCCTGTTCCCAGAGGCCAGTTTGGTTCTGGGCTTTGCCCCAAGGGTGGGGCCTTATGTAGGGAGTCTCAGGGTCCTGTGTCATCCTTGGGGATTGGTCCAAGGGGCCCTCAAGCCTGCCAGAAGAGTAATTATGAAATCACCCTAAAGTAAACAGCATTGAATGGAGAAAGAATTTGCAGAAGGATGATATTCGTGTCTCATAGCCCATGTTCTGTTTTCTTTGGGGCATTTAAAAGCAGTAGCAATCTGGGAAGCAGATCTTTGTTTTCTTTCTTGGAATTTTCATATTAAGCACTTATACCAGAAGTAGGGACCTCCAGGAGACCCCAAGTACCTTCCCTGGTTACTCTGTGGGAGGGCCCAGGAGATTGATCCTTTCAGGTTCTGTGCTATCAAGAGTTTTAGGCTATAGTTCAGGTTATATGTGGTTGATAGCAAGTGGCTGCAGTGAAGGTTGGAACTTCCATGGCAGAAAAATGATAAAAATAAGGAAAAGGCACATTGGGTAAGACGGTCCTTGAAACTACAGATTTCCAGGGGGTATATTCAACCAGAACTGAAGATGATTATATTGGTTGGAGTTTAATTAACTATCTCAGTTAACTAGCCTTTTTTCCCTTTTCCTTTACATTTAAGAGAAAGGGAATCTCAACAAAACATTCCAGAATTTACTGGAAAATGTTTAAATTACATAATTACTGGATTCTCTATTTGTCTGTTTCCTATATTTACCTATTATTTAGCACCCTGTGATCATGAATCCTTATAATTTGTGGTTTTTAGATCCTGAAATAATATGAGCTCATGAATCATATTAGTAGATTGAATTAGAAAGGAAAGTAGACTGACATGTTTTTGAAACATTTTCACCAAGGATATAATTAAGTATTCTTTTTTTTAATTGTGAAAAAATTTAAATCTAAAAAAAAGAAAAGAATAAAACAACGAATACCTACATACTAACCTGGATTTACCACTTAAGATTTTTATCATTTCAAAAGGTCATTTATGTGTCCCCCCTTACTCTCACCTGTTCCAAAATACCTCAAAATACATTGCAGACATCATGACTTTCCATCCCTAAATACTTTAAAGAGTATCTCCTAGAAATTCAGTCTACTATATGACCATAATAGTTCTTTTACACCTAAAAAAAGTAACTTGAATTTTACACACACATAGACACACACATCCAGGATCCAATCACAGCTTACTTTGTCATGTCTGTTTAGTTTCTTTTAATCTAGAACAAACCCCCCAATTTTTGGTCTCTTATGATATTGATTTTTTTAAAGCATTCATGGTAATAATCCCACAATCTGGATTTTTCGGATGTTTTCACATGACTAGAGATGAATAATCATTCTTGTTAAAATACTGTAAAGGTTATACTATACATTGTTTGTTGCATCCTATCGAGTGGCACATGTTGTCAGGCTTCCTCTTAAGTGATGTCACAGTTGATCACTTGGTTAAGGTAGTGACACCAGTCTCTCTACTATCAAGGTACCATTTTTTTCTTATTAATTAAAAAGTAATTTGTAGGATGATCTTTTAACATCATATAAAAGGCCAAACTCCCTACAACATTTACTCAGTGGTAAAATCATTCACTAATGATCCTTGATTAAAAGAGTGATTATACTGGGGGTGGAAAAATGGAGATTTTCTAATTCTGTTATTCCTTTCACTTTGCTGCTGCTGCTACTATTACTACTATTACTGATACTGGTGATTGAACTTACGGGTGCTGGGTTCAATCGGGGCATACCACTGAGCTACATCCCCAGCCCATATTTTTTTTTTTTTATTTTGAGACATGGCCTTGCAAAGATTTTGAGGCTGGTCTTGAACTTGTGATCCTCCTGCCTCAGCCTCCTGAGTCACTGGGATTATGGGCATGCACCACTAAATCTGGCTATTATCTTTTCACTTTGTAAGATGATGTTCCCAATAGAGAAGAATATTATAGTATTTTAAATTTTATATACTGACAAAGTAAGGAATCTCTCCAATAAGTAATCAGTTCAAGAAAAATTTTACTTAATATTTATACTACTTGGGGTTGTGTCATCACAGGAGCCTGGTGTTATCCTTGATAATAGGAATTTGGGTGTTAGTGAGCAAGCAAAAAGTTAGCAGACAGTTGTTGCTTTTTTAGTTAAAAAATGTGATAGTGGAGAGACATGGCTAGAATTAGTTCATTCTGGAATCTGCACAAGTCCAACTTAGTAGCCACTAGTTACAGATGACTATTTAAATTTTAGTTAATTGAACTAACATGTAAAATGCAGTTCCTCAGTTATACTAGTTCTATTCCAAGTGCTCAGTGGTCACATGTGGCTGGTGGTTACCATATTAGCATAGGGATAGGACACTTCCATCACTGCTGAAAGTTCTGTTGGGCAGTGTAGATCTAGAACAATTCTTAGGTTTCCCCAGAACAAAATGGTGAAGTTCACAGGTTTTGAATGAGATCAAGGAGACCTTAACTTCATGAGTTCATCAAGTTTTGCAGTGTTTTGTGCTTTGATTTAGAATTCTGTTCTGACTAAATGGGCCCAGGATAAATGGCTGCTTCTAGAACTTGAATGAAAATGGTCCAAGCCTAAACTTTATATAAGCAATTCTTGTTAAACAGATTTATTTTAGTTCTGGTTAAACAGATTTTATTCTAGAAGAGATGAGTTGAAAAAATTGAGAAGGCTAAATTTTACTTGGTAGCTTTTTCTGTATTTGACTTTATTTTCTTTGTTATAATACAAGACACACTGACATCTTTTTGCCCTGTCCGTAGGCCTCCTATTTTATCTGTATTGATAAAGTCAATTTGTTTAACTGGTAGTGACATGGAAGACACATAAAAGCTAATATACCTCTTTCAAAATTCACAGTGCAAAAGGTAGAGGTTGATAGTAACACATCCGAAGTACCATATTCTTGGTCACACTGCCCTTTACACCCTTCAGCAGCCTATCTGTGGTTAGGCTAAGGGCAGGTGTGTCACCTGGAATTCTGGTAGGCTGACTGAGAGATGCTTGGCCAGTGCTTGGCCCTTCTGAATATGTACCTGGGAGCTCATCTTAAGTAAATTAGTCTAGCATTAAATGGCTTTGCACTGCTATAGAATCTACAAAATGAAGGCTAATATTGGATTCCTAGCTGTTGACCTTGTCCATTGCTAACAAAACCATTATATAGAGGATTTTTCTTTCTGAAATATACATTAAGAAACTAAAAACTGGTGAGGATTAAAGATCACAGCTAAGAATTCAATGTGTGACCTCTCTTTTGGCCACTTTTATACATTGGACACTTGGTGTGCACTAGAACTCTGGTGTGTTACTTTCATGGGCAGCCCTTGGCCTCCTGGATTGGATGGCTTTCATGTCAAAAGATCTCCATGAGATTTATTGTTCATACATTCCCCAGATAATGTCCAGTGGCAAGGACCACTGCCTGGAAGTAGCCTCTATAATGTAGCAAAGTCCATCTAATTCAATACAAAGATCTCATCAAACCCCAGGCCATGGCAAAGAAATCTAGTGTGAAGCCCACTATAGGCTTTTAACTAATTGCTTAGAACAGTACCTAGCAGAGTACGATTTTTGTAAATACTGAATGTATGAATGCACCTTATGGTTTTAAACTTTGCCTTCAGCACAAGATGAGGTAACTGTTCCCTTTTCTTTTCTATCACCCTTCTCAGGGGTATGCACCTCAGGTGAGTGCTACACAAGCCCAGAATAAGGTAGAGATTGGCTTTGAGAGGCGAGGCACTTTTGTGTTGACTTCTTACATACACTCCCATTTCTATATAGTCTCTTACCTTAGAAAAGATTCTGGGTGCCATGGGAGCGAGGGAGAAGAGAAAGAGGAAGAAAAGTAAATGCTTGCACATGGGGCTTTGTGCATCCCTTGTCTGCTCATTAGAGTCAATGCCCTGGTAGCAGACAGCAGAGACAATCCTGCCAAACCCACTCACACCTCCCTTCTAGCACAATGCTGGCCTATTGTATTAAAAACTTCACTCTTGGTTTGCCTTTTATACACGGTACATTCTTTGGACACTGGAAGGAGTGAAGGGAGATAGAGGGTTTTTTTGTTATCTCTGTTTTCTCCTTGTTCCATATTATCTACGTCATCAGTATCACAGTTCTGTGCCTCAGAATGAGGAAGGTGCGTACAGCAATAGTTGGTATGTGACTTAAACCAAGACAACAGTTCTTCCATGCTTTTCTGGAATTTGTTCTAAGTGGATTTTGTCACTATACCTTTTCTTTCTATCTTCAGTTGTTACTTTTAGTTGTGTGAGTTCTAAAGATCATCTTTGGTGCAGGAAAGTTTGGGATCACTGGGAAAGCAAATCGAGATTCTAGGTAATAATACTGTTAAAGAAAGCATTATTCTGATACTTGTTAAAAGGGTAAGCAGACTTTATTCAGGACCATCACAGTTGGTATAGGAACTATGATGGGGTTTGACAGTAGAAGGAAAAAGCTAGGGCTCAAAAGATAGACCATTACAAAGAGGAAACATCAAGGTAAGAGAGATTCTGGCTAAACTGACCTGATAGGATTCTTGCTGAAGTCGGGCCAAGATGATCAGTCATCAGCCAGGGTTTGGTAGAGGATGGAGAACCCCATCAGATATTTCAGGGGATCAGATATCAAGGATGGGGATTCTGGCTAAACCAACTCAGGAAAACTCTTGCTAAAATTAGGTGATGCAAAGACAGACACAAAAGCTCAAAAGTCAGGGAGAATTCAGGAAAAGGATTCAGAAGAGCCTGACTCAAATTTGGTCAAGGAAAGACTCAGTCAGTATGCATGCTGATGTAGTCAGGGGAAATGTACTGATATCTGCTGCTTAATTTGAACACATTAAAAAATAGTAAATAAACTATAGGGGGCTAGGGATATACCTCAGTCAGTAGAGTGCTTACCTCGAATGCACAAAGCCCTGGGTTCAATCCTCAACACCACAACAACAACAAAAAAAAAAGAAAAGAAACTGTAGTAAAATGTTACTGGTAGAATCTCATGATGGTGGCTATATAGATACTCTAAGTTCCTTTAACACTTCCAAGTATATCTGAAAAAATTTTGTAACAGAATGTTAAGGACATCAAAGCTGGTCAGAGCAGAAGTGTGGAGGCAGTCAAGAGGAAGGGACCCACATTTGGGTAATGGGGACTGCCTGTTGCAGGAAGGCAGATGGATAGTTAGCAGCATGTGCCATTTTCCAGGGGGCTTGCTAATGCCATATAAGCACAGAAGATTGATTGCCCTCCAACCCTCTAGGACATGATGTGGTCTGTGGCTTGACTTTGCATGACAGCCTTCCTCTTCTTGTAGCTAACAACTCCTTCTGTTTTGGGAAGATGGTCAACCTTGTGGCTACTTTTCAGCCAACATAGCTGCCATCGGCCAAGCTAATATTTTCTGTTTTTGTCCTTGTCTTCCTCCCTGGTGACTTTTAGAGTTGGTGTTGACCCAGATCAAGATCCACCACCCAACAATGACAGCTTTCAAGTCTTACAAGGGGTAAGTAACATGAAATGCTTCTTTACAGGGAAGACATAATTTAAAGTAGCTAAAATTCAGTGAGTATTTGCTACATACTAGACATTATACCTGGACTCCCTCATTGTCATCTTGACACTGACCTTTTGACATGGCTACTGTTTTCCCCCATTGGAGGCTAAAGAGTGAGCACTTAAAAAGTGGTTTTAAGTTAGAATTAAAAAGTGGTTTGTTTTGTAGGTGAAACAGGCCGGGAGTTAGCTAGATAATGAAGATTTTCAGAGATTTCATCTTGACAGTTGCAGACCAGTCAAAACATCCTCAGCTGTTCTACTGTTTCCTGTTGTTCCTATCTTTGTACTGAAGCACCTGTAAAAGGAAATTAATGAAATGATTTGGTTGGTTTTATGTAGCAGAACTTGCTGTACATCTCTCATAAGACCTCCATGCTAGAAACACTGGGCCTGAAATGAGACTTAGTAAAAAATTTACTGTTGCTTTTCTATGGAAATATTTGAGAAACAGCAGGTCGTAAGTGCTAAGGGTTCTGACATTTGGTCCATGCACTGACAGCTAAAATAGCTACCCTCACAGGCAGGGTGAGCCTCCCTGGATGGGCCTGAACAGGTTAACTCAATGTTCCTCTCAACTCCTAGAAGACCCTTTGGCTGTGAGCACTGCACATTTGGCCCTGTGAATGGACTGGCAGTGACTTCTGCTACACTTCTGGTGGCACCCCATTTGTCACACTGGAGCTATGTCACAGCTTCCCCCAACCTCCTCCTTCCAAATATCTCACACAGTCAGGAAGAAGGGCCTGCAAAGTCAGTCCTGCTGACCTTTTGAAAACTGTCAAGATTGCTGTCAGACTGGGAAAAACAGGCGAACTTTAGGCTTGGTTCCCCAGGAAACCCTCTGCTAAATGACTCATGCCCTTGTGCAGAAAGGGCCTTATTTCTTCAAATCCTTTTGGCCTGACCCTCTCTTTCCAGTGAGGCACTAACAGGACTGGGAGTGCTCAGTGATCATGAGAAACAGAGAAACAGAAATAAATGGGCTTGTCATGTTTGGGTGAAACCCTGGGTGCTTGCAGTTTCCCCTGAAATGGATCCAGGTCCTGTGCTCAGTGTTGTCATGAAACTGAGATCAGAGGTAGGGAAAGTCCAGATGTTTGTCCCTCACTAGAAAAGAAAAGGCAGTTTTCTCTAAATTAGCATCCTAAAAACAACAAAGAAATGGAGAGTGATATTTGATAGGAAAGCATTTCTTAGAATAAGGACAATTTTCCTCATTGGTTCTAGAAGCTCAAGGTTATAAACAGAGTCATGGCTAGAGAGCTACAGACCATTAGTTCATGTGGGAGAAGGAAAGGAGCCATTGGCTGGAACTTCTGGCTCTATGTGAGGGAAGCATAAGAATATTTTAGGCAGACTTCAGCATTGTGTCCCTGGCAAGTTTGACTCATTAGAACAAAACAAGACCAAAATGTAGTTGCTTTGTTTGTCCAGAGGTCTTGGTGACTTTGCAACCAAAACAAAAACAAGCCCAGCTGGAAGCAAGCTGCCTGGGCCAGGATGGCCTCTCACCCCATTAAAGGGGGGGGACTTTTCATGCCAGATCAGACACAGCTGAGATTTCTGTTGGCCGGACATACAAACACATCATTCACTTCCTTCCCTATGTTTCCAGAAGAGCACTCATTGATGGAGGCCCCTTTGGAGCAGCAAAGGGAATGGGTTTATCATGTCAGCAGGACCAGCACATAAGCCGGATATTATGGAATGTGGAGGAAAGGAAACCCTAGTTTCTGAGTGTGTATGCATGTGTGTGTGAGTATGTTAAGAACTGTAGAACTTAGCTATTTATATTTGCATTGACATAGGACTTGGTAAGCAAGTTTGTTTCTGGCTCCTCCTCTAGTTTTCCTACAGGCTGAAATCTGATATCCAGTCACCTAAATCTTTAACTTCAAACAGTTGCTGAAGTGACTTTCCTCAAATTACTGCTCTCTGACCACTCCCCTAGTTTTTTTTTTTAATTTTTAGCTGTAGATGGACACAATATTTTTATTTCATTTTTTTTACGTGGTGCTGGAAATCGAACCCAGTGCTTCACACATGCTAGGTAAGCACTCTACCACTGAGCCACAACTCCAGCCACTAGTTTTTTTTTTCTATTTGTCTAACAATTGCTTCCTTTGACCCCTCGATTTTCCTTTCTGCTATTTTTTGTTGTTGTTCTCTAGAAACTCAGAATTAATACTAATTTATTCATTCACTTGACAAATATTTATTGAGCACTTGTTATATATCAGACCTTCTTTCAGACTCTGGCAATACATCTGCAAAAAGATAGATGAATCTCTGTTCTGAAGGGTTTGGTGACAATGTTATGGAAGAGGAAGATGAAGAGAGGCAGAAGGTGGAAAGCCTTATCTGCTTTTCCTTCCAGGGAGCACAGACCTGTCATTACTACTACTAGTGTCCCTGTGGCCCAGTGGCATGGTCCAACAACTTGGAAGTTAGGGAGAGAATTTGCTAGAAATGTTGTTTCTCAGGCCTCATCTAGCCCTACTGAAGCAGCATCTGTGCTTTCACAGTATCCCCAGGGGATTTGTGTATAATTTGCAATTTCAGAAACCTGGTGCGACTCTGGGAATAGTTTTAAGTAGGGCTGAGATATTTTGGTTCATTGGTCTCATAAAAAAAAAAAAAAAGCCCAAATCAAGTTGCATCGTTTATTTGCTTTTCTGCTCTCTGTTAATTTTGTGGGACTACTATAACAAGTCACCACAGAGTTTGTAGCTTAAAGCAACACAATTGTATTGTCTAATAGTTCAGTAGATCAGAAGTCTGTTGGGCTCAGATGGTTTCTCTCCTTCAAAGCTAAAAATCAAAGCTTGGGCAGATGTGGGCACTAGAGGAAAAGCCACTTGCAGACTCATTCAGATTGTTGATAGAAGTCAGTTCCCTGGAGTTGTAGCACTAAGATTCAGTATCCTTTCTCTCAGTTTCATAGGGACCATGCTTAGCTCCTGGAAGTTACTAGCATTTCTTGGAGTATGGCCCCTTCTGTCTTAAAATCTGGAAACAGTGCTTTTTTTTTAAGGGCCTATGATATTGTACTGAGTCTACCTGAATAACCCTATATCCATATACAAAGCCCCTTTTGCCATTTATGTAACATTACAGGCTCCAGAGATTAGGATATAGAATTTGTTGGGTGGCCATTGTTCTTGCCTACCACATACTCCATTCCTGGAAAAGTAAACTATTATTGTTATTGTAACTTTAAAAATTTTAACATATAAGAATTGAATAAAATATGACTCTATGAAGACATCGGTATTCACTAGTTCTAGAGAAATTAATTTAAAAATAATACTCTTTGCCATTCCTCAGGTTTTTTTGGTTCTTTTAATCAGCTTTCTTTTTCTTCATGACGTTTGTTACTCTGTGTGTGTGTGTGTGTGTGTGTGTGTGTGTGTGTGTGTGTAAGAGAGGAGAAAAAGAGAGTATATATGTATTTGTTCCATCTCTCTCTGGAAAGGAGCAAGTGTTGAGTCTTTTTTCTTTTTCTGTTTCCAGCACTCAGCATGATGTCTGGCATATAGTCGGCACTTAATGAATGAATAAAAATATACCCTCAGTGTTATATACTCATGCTAATAAGCAGGGTCGGCATTATTTTTGAGGAGGATTAATAATATCAGTAAAAATATTAAGAGTCCCTTGTGTAAAAAGCCACACAAGATAGCCTAATGACATTATGAGTAGGGTTTTCCCCCCAACAAATGTATGTTGGAAATGACATATACAGTCTTTAGAAATGAACTAAATTAATAATATAAACTCTAACTGTGCTAAATAGTTTACAAATATTTAACCAGCATTGAAAAAGTCACATGACTAATAATGAGTTAATATTTGTTGAGTATATACCACATGTCAGACACTGTCCTAAGTTCTTTAAATGTAAAAATAATTTGGACCTCTAAAAGAAAAAAAAATTGTTTTTTCTCTGTACTCACAGCACTTCTAACACCAGTATGTGCAGTTTTTCCTCACAAAAACCAATTCTTCAGTTCTCAGTGGACAACAAGTTGGGGTCCTCTAGTTTAACTTGATCCTTACTACTAATGGCTTGAAGGTAGGATCAGATCCCATAGGTCAAAGGCTCAGTCCTACAAGATTGCCTCCACTTCAGATATCAATCATAAATTCCAGGTTTTAACCTGAATTTCTTTCTGGCAATAAATCAAGAGTTCCTGTGACCTCTTCCTCAGTTTCAGTAATTTGCTGGAATGACTCATGGAACTCAGAAAAGCACTTTATTTGCCATTACTGTTTATTATGGATGATACAGCTCAGGAATGATCAAATGGAAGAGATGCATAAGACATCTCTGGGGATGGGGGTACATGGAGAGTCCATGCTCTTTTCTGGCATCCCATCCTCTTAGCACCTCCATGTGTTCGCCAACTCAGAACATCTCCAGATCTCTTCATTGAGGGGTTTTATGGAGGTTCCATTACACAGGTGTGGTTAGTTAAATCATGAACTATTCATGAATGACTAAATCTTCAGTCCCTCTTTCCTCCTTGGAGGTGGGAGTGGAGCTGAAAGTTCCAGCTCTCTTAGCACAAGGTTGGTTCCTCTGGCAACCAGCCCTGAGCTGCCAAGAGTCATCTCATTAGCATAAACCTGGGTGTGGTTGAAAGGGAGAATTAAAAAGGATGCTCTTCTCACCCTAGTAATTCAGGAAATTCCAAGAGTTTTAGAAATTTTGTGCCAGGGGCTGAGGTGAAGACCAAATGCATATTTCTTGTTATATCACAATATCACATTCTCATAATGACCCTGCAAGGTAGACAATTTTTATTGTGAGTGTGTGCATGTGTGTGCTTCTGAGAATCAAACCTAAGCCCTCACACATGCTAGGTAAGTGCTGTACCGCTGAGCTACACCTACACCCTCCCCCTAATCGTGGTAGGTAATTATTAACATCTTCATTTTACAAACGAGGCCACTGAATGTTAGTGTAACTTGCTTAGAGTTATATAGCAAGGCAGAAGGCACAATCAAGACGTAGTCTGTTGAGAGGGCCTGTGATATTCACTCCAGTGTCTCTTAGAACAGTTTGTTGCTTTGGAAACATTTTCTAGAGAAGCCAAGCTTCTGTGGTCAGTCTTGAAGGATGAATAAGGGATTGGCCAGCAAGTCAGTATGGGTGTGAGAAAGTGAGAGGAAGAAAGGCCCTAGAAGTGGCTAGAGCCAAAGACGTGGGGCGTGAACAGTTCTGGTGGGAAAGCAGGTTGTGAGGAGGGGCCTGTGAAAGAACAAATCCCTGCTTTTGCTGTGGGCAGCACAAGAATGGAAATCCCAGGCTCCAAGTGCAGGCGGGAAGGAAGCCCCGCCTTCTCCCCCAGTGACCCGTGCTCAGCCCAGTGCTAATGGGAGCCCACAGGAAAAGCTCTCGTGATTTCTGTGTGATAAAGCAGTTGTGGGTCATCTTACAGATCAGCTTAAGAAATTAGTTCTGTTTCACAGAACTGCCGGATTTCCTCAAAGCCACTGTATGTGGATTTATCTAAGTTCTTCCTGTACCTAATCATATTTCTGGCAACATCGCTTGGAATTAGAAGCTGTTTAACATCCTCTTTACAAAGTAACACTTTTAGGTTTGTCCTGAATTTACCCTTCTCAGAGTCATCTCTTTTTTTTTAATTCAGGTTTTGCTACAGAATCTGAGGTCACTTTCTCTTATTTGTAGATTGTAGGGATATATATCTCTTTGTGACCTGAGAAGATCTTTTGTAAGTTTATTCTCAAATAGAAGCCTTTGTCTGGCTTTATTAGTTTTAATTGTCCTTTTTGGGGGCTTACAGAAATCTCTGTAGCTTCCTTGAGGTGAGAGGGCAAGAGCTTAAGTGTTCCAGGGGTTAATAACTTCATTGTGATTTTACAGAGGCTAAAATGATAGAGTAGGGGTGATGGTTTTTATTGTTGATTTAAGAGGAGTTGAAGAAACCAGCCTCAGGGGTTTCTCCAATGCTTTATAGTGTCCTTCCTGATCATGTTTATCATTTTGCTAGGTTTTTATTTCTTTTATAAAATTCTAGAGTCTGTCACTTTATAAAGAACCATTTAATTTTTCCATAAAGATATATACATGCCCTACAGAAAGGTTATCTATCACTTTTCTACTGACTCATGTGGCATTTTGAAATCTTCCTAGAGTTGTCATTAGTTAGCAATCAGTTACCTAAAGGAAGGAGTGTTGTCAGCAAATGGAAACATTTCTGTGCCCTTTTTCTTCCACATGATTTTAAAACTGTAAAATAATTGGTCTCTGTGATCTCTCCTTATTTATGTTTCCTCATGCATAGAAGGGCACATTTAATGAAGCCATTTCCCTATCCATCTCTAAACATTCCTCAATTATCAGGGGGACTCTATTTTTAAAAATAATTTTGTTGGAACTTTTGGAATTTAAATAGTGCTTGCTAATTTCTCTCTTCCTACTCACCTATATGCTTATCTTTTGAATGACCTCCAGTTAATATTTGGTGTCCCTGTTGCAGGTATAATTTACATGCACTGTGACTTGGGATTACTTGTGGTTTTTAGTTCAAATTTTCTTTGGTTATTGTTAATTGCCCTTCACTTGCAGAGTTTCCTCTCACAATAATATTAAAGAGGGTTATGATTAAAATGCCTGTGCTTTACCAGCACTGTGTATTTTCAGAGCTTGTCATCCAGCAGCATACAATCGCATTAGTACCTTGAAACTACTGAAGGAAACCCAATTTGTTCCCACAGAAAAGCCCATTTTAATGCCCTAAATTCAGGTTATTATTTGAAATACAAAGATGAGGACTCTTTTGTTTTTCATTCTATTATAAAACAATAACAGTGACCAAATGGCACTTTTGGGGTCTTAGTGCCATGCATCACTTCTGTTTCTATCCCTATTTTTACTTTGAATCTGTATTGGTACATTATAATTACACATAATATTGGGATGCATTATGCCATACTCACATGTACACATGATATAATTTTATCAGTCTCATCCCCCAGTACCTTCCCTTGCTGTCCCTTTCTCCTTTCTGCTGATCCGCTTGCTGTACTGTACTATCAACCTGATTTATTTTATTTTATTTTATTTTTTTTTGCGGGGGCAGGGAGAATCAGGAATTGAACTCAGGGGTACTCGACCACTGAGCCATGTCCCCAGCACTATTTTGTATTTTATTTAGAGACAGGGTCTCACTCAGTTGCTTAGGGCCTTGCCATTGCTGAGGCTGGCTTTGAACTCATAATCCTCCTGCCTCAGTCTCCAAAGCTGCTGGGATTACAGGCATGTGTCATCATGCCCAGCTCAACCTGATTTTTATATTATCTGTGGTTCTTATAATACTTGCACAGAACAGACTTTCCAAACCTCAAATTAATGCCGTGATTTTTCAGGTTACTTTCAAAGTTAAATGATGAGGATGGTTGAGTTGGAATAACAAGGAATTTGCTACTTCGGGGTAAATAAAGTATCAGATTTTCTAGTTCTGGCGCTTTTCCCCTGCCTGCTAGCCCCATTTCCCTAAAGCTGGAAGGGAAACAAGTTACCAGATAACCTGAAGTACCTGGGAGGGACCTTCAGAGAACCCTTTGATTAGCTGGTCAGGAAACTCAACAAAAAGTGTGGAATTTCTAGGTCAACCTTGAAGGAACCTGGAAAGTTGTTTTTATAGAAGCTTTCTTTAATATTTGCTGTATATTGATTTTTGACTTGCAAAGATCTAGACTATTTTAGAACTATGTAATTATTTAATATTTAATTACTGATTAAAAGGCACTTTGAGGAGAAAAATACAATAGAAATACCAGAAGAAATTTTTTTACTAATATTCAGTTGATCTACCCACAGAACTAACCAAACCTTTCTGTCTTTGGGTTTACTCAGTTTCTGCTAAAGTATTATCTTTCAATATATATTTGAAGCTTTGGTAGCATGAATATTTGATAATGTTTTCTAGATTTATAAACTTATAGTTCATAGGCTTGGGGTATATAGCTTGGTGGTAGAGTCTAGCATGCCCCAAGCCCTGTTTCCTTCTCAGCACTCCAAAAAATGTTACAGTTTGAAAAGAAGTTCCCCCACTATCTTTCAGATCCCTTTTCTGCAACTAAATATGTGTCCTCTTGTTTGTTCCTAGGATGGTCCAGATTCTGCTGGAGGAAACCGTACAAAGCAGGAGAGTGCATGGATATTCAGGCTGTGGTACAGCTTTGACCACAAGTATCCTTTTAAGTGGCATCCCATGTTCATAATACATTGACAGTGAAATTCACTTGTTGACTTGTCAGTGAATGAGTTCTGATGAGTAAAGAAAGATGAATGCTTGGAACAGGTATACTCAATCCTGTCTTGGGACACATACATTGATCATTCAACTGTAGGTAGTCCTGGCAAGCATCCTCTGGCCAAGAGGTGTGGTTGCTTTTTGTTAGAGTAGCCAGCCCGCAGCCTGGTTGACTTGTGGCTTTCGAGAGCTTTGTGCCCAGGGGAATTTTACCTTTGTAAGTTAATTGGTTAAAATTACACAGTGAGCCATGTTTTAGTCAGAAAGGAAAATGGAGCTTTAGCAATTAATCCATGGGGGTGGGTGTGATTGCTGTTGGTTGAACTTGGCCAAGTCTGATCTCAGTGGTATAACTGGGCCACATGCATGGCAGACCCTATCCTTGGTCCCAGGTGAAAATTAAAAACCAAAATGTTAAACTTACATGATTTTTTTTACATTCACATAGTGATCAAATGGGCAGATGGCTTTTTATAGATAGTTTTGGGAGACATTGAAAATGCTCGAAAAATTTTTGTTGAAATATAACAGATGCACAAGTATTTAAGTCATAAGTGCTTTGCAAATTATCATTTTAATTTGATACCAAACCAGTCAAGAAACAAAATTACCAGCTTCTCTCATGCCATAACTCCATTACTCCCTTTCTTCCACCCCATACATAGCCACTCTTCTGACTTCTAGCAACACTTAACAGTTTTACCTGTTTTTCAACATAATGTAAATGAGATATTTTTTTGTGTGTGTGTGTAGTGTCTGACTTGTTTGTACGATTCATCTATGTGATGTTTGTAGCCCTAGTTCATTTGCTCTCATTGCTACATAGTATTTCATTGTGTGCCTATGTCACAATTGTATTGTTGATGAACACTCAAGATTCCCCTTTGGAACTGCTGTGAAAATACTGCTATGAACATTCTTATATACATCTTTGATGTATTATGCAAATGTTTTGTTGGGAATATACACAGGAGTAAAATTGTTGGGGCATAGGATGTGTGTAGGTTTAATTTCAAAAGCTAGTACCAAAGTTTTCCAAAATGGTGATACTACCTTACACATTCAATACTAGTCTATGAGAGCTCTAGTTACTCCATATTTTCATCAACAATTGATATCATCAGCCTTTTTAATTTTCGATATTCTAGTGGTTTTGTAATGATATCTCATTGTGGCTTTAATTTACATTTCTCTGATAACTAATAGGGCTGAGCACTTTTTCATACATTTACTGGCTATTCAATATATTCCTTTATAAAGTACCCATTCAAGCATCTTGCCCTGTTTTATCTTGGGTTGTCTGCTTTTTTCTTAATAATGTGTAAGAGTTCTTTATGTTCTGGATATGAGTCTTTTGCTAATTATGTATGATAAAAATACCTTCACCCACTTTGTTTTTTTACTATTATGTATAATTATGCATAATAATGGGATTAATTGTGACATATTCATATAACATATTTGCTTCAATTCATTCTCCAGTACTTCCCCTTTTCCTCTCCTCCTTCTCCACTCTGTAACTTGCCTGTTCCCCTTAAAAACTATCTTTTGATGAACAAAAGGCTTAATCCAATTGATTGATCTTTTCTGTTCTGATTAGTATCTTTGAAGCCAGTTTCCTGTGTTATCTTCTAGAAGCTTTATTCTTTATCTTCTGTGCATCTGGGTTTTTTTTTTTTCTGAGTGATAGACATGGACAATGAAAAACTCTAGATAATCTGAGATGCTCTGGATGAGGTCATCATCCTTCAGAGATGATTTAAGCTTATATCTGCCGAGTGGTCAGGTTGTGGGCAAGCAATTTCAGATCATCTTAATGAGTTTAGAAATAAAGGTGATTTGAAGCTGGGCTTGAGTTCTCTGAGGGTTAAATATTTTCTCTTTGCCTTTTGTGTAGGGTCCCAACCTAAAGCCTTGGGTGTTCACATTTTCTTCTTTGGTGGCCTTAGGCTCGTTATTGTAAGAGTAGATTATTAGAAAATTGAGTAAATCAAATAAGAAGTTCTTGGAAATTAAAAGATTTCTGAAATTAACAGTAGAAATTTAATTATTACAACTTGAGTGTGGTGAAGACTGAATTGTTGATTTGAACGATAAAGTTGAGGGAAAAAAAACTTAAAGAATTAGAACAGAAAGTCAGAAAAATGTAAGAGAAGAGTGTCAAGATGTGGAGTTTAGACACAGATGGTCCAGATCACTTAGGATCTGAAAGGGAAAGATGGTAACTATGGAGGAAAAGATATACCAAAGGAATAACAGAAGAAAAATTCCCATTACTAAGGAATATACTTGTCTCTAAGTATAAGAGCTCACCAAGAGTGTGAGTAGGGTGGACATATTCTGGGGGGATTTCATAACAACAAAAGGAAAAGATAGAACTTTTAAGGCTTTCAAATAGAAAAGACAGGCAAAGAACCAGAGACTTCTCATTGTATATTAGAAGACCATTGAACAATGTCTTCAAAGTTCTATGATGAAAAGTCTAGACCTACAATTCTACCCCTAAACTCTCAATCACAACTGAGAGAATAAAGAGTGTAGTTTCCAGATGTGCAAGAATTCAGAAAGTTTAGTATCATCTAGACCCTATAACATATAAGAAAAATAACGTATGGATCAGACAAAAAATAGCCTAAAAAATGGGACAATGCTGGAGAAACTGATTGTTATAATTTAGAAGAGGTGAATAAAGAAAAAAATGAAAAATTCTTTATTTAGCAACACACTCTAGAGTTTTCTTTTGACAAAGTTTAGATGACACATTATTATTTTTCATTTTATGTTACTATAACCACTGGTTATACAGTGAATAATATTCATACAGTGACATTATTGCATTTTTGTATGTGCCAGAGATGGAACCTAGCACCTTATGCATGTTAGGTAAGTGCTCTACAATTGAGCTACATCCTTGGCCCTCTGATATTATTACAAATGTTGCTTTATTTATTTATTCTATAGCAAAAAATAGAGAATTTATGTATTAGTTATAAAAGAGAAAGCATATCTTCAGTGTAAAATTAATTATAATAGAAATTGGAAAGAAGAGACAAGGAGTATTAATGACTTAAGTTTATCATTCTTCATAGGAAGGACTTAAAGCTTCAGAATATAGCTTGTAAATCAAGAAATAGGAAAATGTGTTATTTATAAAGATTTAATGTCAGTTACCAGATCAACTAGTGCAGGAAAGAGAAGTTTAATGTTATTTTTTTTTTTGCCCTTCCAACAGTTGAGTATTTTAAAGTATGTATATTTATTTACTAATCTTTTTAAGGAAGTTGTTTTAGGCCTTCTGGATTGGGGAAGTGGGGCTTACTGGCTGCCCCTTGACTCTTTTTTAAAAATTATTTTTATATATACTTTTAGTTGTTAGTGGACCTTTATTTTATTCATTTATTTATTTTTATGTGGTGCTGAGAATCAAACCCAGTACCTCACACATGCTAGGCAAGTGCTCTACCACTGAGCCACAACCCTAGCCTTGACTCTTGACTTTTCATCATTGTACAGATCAGAGCCCCTGTCATCTTCTGAGTAGGACAGGAGAAAACTGATAGACCTGTAGGGGCTAATCCTAAACTGAGTGATTTCCTCCTGTCCTGCACTTGTCCCCAGGACTGTGATTAAAGGACAGCAGCCAAGAGACAGCTCATTTTGTCTGTAAAGAGCTCCAGCAGAGCCCTCATGTCCATCCTTCTTCATTAAATAATTCCCAACTGAAAGCATACCTCTGTGTCCCTCTTCCATTTCCTCCTTGGAGAAAGCTTCTTCCATGTGTGCTGCTCTAAATGAAGACAAGAATTGGGGGTGCACTGAACAGCCTGTTCTCTTAGGCACAGACCACTGGGACATCTTCTTGTCTTCCATTAAAGTTTCTTGTCCATCCCTGTGGTGGCCATATGAGAGTCCAACTTTTCCACATTGCTTAGGATACAGATCTTAGAATGGGCTTAGAATGGGCCTCTTTCATAATGGGGCAAGTGTTTCTTGGTGCTTCCAATATAGGGCTATGTATTTGGCCTCACAGATAGTCATTAACTGATGAACCCTGAGCTCTCTGCACATCAGTTGACCTTTATGTTACAGCAGTGGTCTTGACCAAGCCTGTATTTGCCTCCTGTGGGACGTTTGGCAATTTTTGGAGACAAAAGTTATTGTCATAACTTGGGGAGGGGAATAAGGGTGCTGCTGGCATCTAGTGGGTAACAGAGAAGGTGCTCAACTTCCTGCCACAACAAAAAATGACCTAGTCCCAAATATCAATAGTGTCAAGGTAAAGAAGCCCTGTGTTAAGAGTCTGGGAGAAAAGTGGCTGGTTCTCTATAATGGGAAGTTGGGAGATTTATGGTCTAAATAACCTTACTGAAATAATTTCACCATGCCAAGTCTCAGTTTTCTCTTTTATAGTAGCCTCAGGTTGCTTTTGAGGTCCTGTCCAACTCAAACATCTCCACTGTATGCCCTGTAGTTAGAGTGGCTTAACAAGGATACTTACAGAGAACAAGGGCAGAGGAGACACTGTAGTACCTGCTCCCCAGGGACACTATCTCCTTTTTCCAAGATCTGAGTGGTGTTTGTCAAAATCTGAAATGCTAATTGGAACTAAAACAAAGTCATAAGTGTGTTCTAATCAATCAAATATTCTTTTTAACTGACAATTGGAAATCACCAACCTGTGAGTTACTAGTTACCATTTAAGCCTAATTGAGGTATACTGTTGCAGGTACAAGTATTTCCTAGGTTGTACTGATAAAAAGGAGAGAAAGAAAGCTTTTTGTGGGTAGAATGTAGGACAGTTTACTTTTGGGGATTTTTAAACAAATTTTGTTGTGCGTGTGTTTCCCTTGCAGCCATTTATCCTTAATTCTCTTTTTAAAGTTACTTGAAGCCCATCCTCACACACAGCGGCCCCCCTCTAACCACCACTCTTCCCGCCTGGTGTGGTTTGCTGGCCCGATGTCTGACTAGTCCCCAGGTGTATGACGTAAGTACAGCATGTCAGTATGGTGTTCTTCCTGCTCACTCTGCCAGGGAAGCCTCTTACCTAGGAAGAAAAACCAATCACACTCATACCTCTATAGCTTCATATTTTCCTTGTATAATAAGATGATTAGAAATGGCAAATTTACATATGTTTATATTCTTTGCACAGTAATAAGAGAAATCTTTTACCGGGATTACAACTGCCAAGTTACCAAGTATTGTAACCCACTGCTACTATGCAATCAGTGAGCACAGTAGTTCTGTGTAGCTGTCATCCCAAAGCCTCTAGGGCCTCTGCTTACCCCCTTCAGAGGAAAGCAACTGTTGAAAAGGCCAAATGACAGAACTCTACACCTTCAAAGCCAGCTGAGTTGCCTCCTTGGGGAAGCAGGTTCTGCCTGGTGAGAATGCAGTTCTACCCTGACCTTTTCTTTGAATTTTCACCAAATGTGAGAACAGCATTCATGAATGTCTCCTTCTCTTAAAGACAATTGAGCCCTCCAGCATCCTCAGGACCTCCCCATATAAAAATGAAAATCCGCCAGGCACAATGGCACATGCCTGTAATCCCAGCAGTTTGGGAAGCTGAGGTGGGGGTATCATAAGTCCAAGACCAGCAACTTGGTGAGGCCCTAAGCAACTTAGTGAGACCCTGTCTCAAAATTTTTAAAAAGGCTGGGGATGTAATCAGTGGTAAAACACCCCTGGGTTAAATTTCCAATACTAAAATAAATAAATAAAATTAATGATAATAATAATAATAATAATAAGTCCTGTGCCACATGTGATAAACTGTTTTCAGATTAGAAAATAATGGATAGTGAGGATAGGGATACTGTAGCTCAGTGGTAGAGCATGTGCCTAGCATGTATGAGGCCCTGAATTTGTTCCCAGTACTGACAAACAAGCACAAAAAAACACCTTCAGTAAAATGGTGAGATTATCATTTTCCCAGAATTGTTCTTGCTTTATAAAGTGGTTTTTAACAATAATGGTAACTTTTTAATATAATATCTATTAGCCTAAACAATAATACTAGTGTTATTTTGTATCAGAAGGACTCAAACCAACAGATTAAAAAGTTAGTTTTAGAATTTCTTATCCAGCACTACTGTGTATAAGAAAGGTCATGTTAATTCTGAAGGCTAAATGGTTTGCTTATTTTAGACCTCTGTTTAAAGTGGAATTATGACCACTTGAAGGCATGTCATCACTGAGACAAAGTGTGCTGACGTGCCACCATTGCATCTTCCACTAATGAAGCTCCAACTAATTATACCTTAAAAATATTTTCTAATCAAAAGTTTACTAACTATTCCCTTGTTCATAGATACGGGATATCAGTACTAGTTTGGACTCAGCATAAACTCAGCCAAATGGGGCACATGATGTCATTTACAGTTATATACCTTTAAAGTGCTTCTCTCACCAGTTCAAGAGACTACTCAAGGTTTGCTTTCCAGAATAATGTTTGGGCTCTGGACTTGTCACAGCCAACTTAAGATGGGTTGACTTGGGCTACCAGGAACAGCCACCCTCAATGCTACTGCTGGCCTTTTGTGCTGGGGTCCTGCCCAGGGTCTCAGCCAGCTCCAGATACAGTGAGGACTGCTGCTGAGTGAATGGGAGCAAAGGATTTTTTCAGAGTTAGCAGTTGAGGAAACCAAAGTTGAGAGAGACGGAGGGGCTCCCTGTGGAGTGGAGTGCTGGGTGAGAGTCTCCCACTCAGAGTTCTTGTGGCTGTTTTGATACTTGTTATGTGGTTCTCACCCATCACCTAGGGTGTTTTACACTTGGTCAAGTTTATTTGGAGGTATATAGGATGTTCGGTATTTCTACAAACTCCAGACTAATTAGGTTTGTTATCCACCAAGAAAACAGTGTTCTTCCACTTTTGAAGAGACCTATGGTTGGGGCTCGGTGGTAGAGTGCTCGCCTGGCATGCTTGAGGCACTGAGTTTGATTCTTAGCACCACATAAATGTAAAATAAAGTTGTTGTGTCCACTTAAAACTAAAACATAAATATTTTAAAAAGAGACCTATGGTTATTTTCAGTGTACAAATTCCCACAACACACTTGTTTTTAGGGTTATTTCACTGCATTTTTATAGCAGCCTTTACTAGACAACTAGTTATATAATGATATACACCTTCAGCTTCCTAAAGTTCCACGGATCCTATCACCTAGAATTCCAGGGAGTGGGTTGGTTTCATCAGCTTTATGTGACACTCATTAAGCTTTTTTTTTTTATGTTTTTAGTTGTAGATGCACACAATACTTTTATTTTGTTTATTTATTTAATTTTATGTGATGCTGAGGATTGAACCCAGTGCCTCACAGATGCTAGGCAAGTGCTTGACCACTGAGCCACATCCTCAGCCCTCCTTCAGCTTTGATATAGGAGTCACTCTCCAACTGGGTCTCAAGATGTCTTTGTTTCTGAATGACTTTTCCTTAGGTACTATCTGGGCTGGTGGGTGTCATAAATGGAATGGGTCAGTATCCAGTCTTATTTTCTCCCACCAGTGAATTTTGTCCCTGTGTTCCTCTATAAGAATAATCAGGCCACACTGAAGTTCATGTCCAGGGTGCTATGTGGGCTTTCCTTCATTTGTAGAATTACTCTCACATGTAGTTGATCTGTATTCCTCTCTATCCCTTTTTGGCTTTAAACCTTGAAACGGTAAAGTATGTATCAGAACTGTCTCCCTGAAAATTGGTAGCTAGATATTTTGAAAAGATGGACAAAACCATTACTTAGCACATGTCTGAATGGTAGAACTGGGACATGCTAAGACAAGGAAAGAGGACTCCCTGGGAGCTGGAAACCCAAATGGGGCACATGATGTCATTTGTTGTTAAAACTATCAGAAGATAGATTGAGCTTCAGGGCTTTCTGAACACTAAGGCAGAGGAAGAAATTTGGGAGTTTGGAGCAAGTTTTAGAACTGTGCTCTAAATATCAGCCTGAGTACAGAATTTGTTTTTCGTCATGCATCTCTATCCTGCCTCCTTCCAGTGGGTATTTGAGGCAGCAAGTGAAGTAGAATTGTGTGTTTGCCTGTTAAAAATGCTAGAGCACTCACAGGGTTATGTGGAGTCACATTGTGCACTGTGTATGGAGAAGTAAGTTGACATCACTGACAAACAGTGCAGAAAACAAGCATGTGCTTGTCACCAGTAAATACACAGGAGATGCACTGGGAGAGAAGTGAGAAAGACTCAACCCAGGAATCCTCTTAGCTCAGTGTGTTTACCAAGCATTCATGTAGCACCTATTACAGGATGAGTGTCCCTTGACCAAAAGACTTAGGACCAAAAGTGTTTTAGATCTCAGAACTTAGATTTTTTAATATTTGCATATATGTAATGAAATATCTTGGGTATGAGACCAAGTCTAAACACAAGATTCATTTATGTTTCATATATACCTTGTATGTATGGCCTGAAAGTAATTTTAGATAATATTTATAATAATTTTGTGATGAAACAAAATTTGAGAACTATCAGACTTCTATGACGTCAATACTCCAAAAAGTTTCTGAGTTCAGAGCATTTCAGATACACGGATACTTAACCCGTATGAGATAAGTTCCATTAAGGAAGGACACCAAGAAGAGGGAAAGCGGTCAATGCCCTTTGGTAGTTTATCATCTAGATGGGGGCATGTCCAGGTTGCACTTGGGGCAGGCAATGGACCAGGGTGGTATCCCAGACAGAGGAGGGATACATGAGACTTCAGATGTGTTTGCCATCCAAGTTGTATTCTTTGACAACCTTCAATACAGCAGAGCCATGACCCTCCCTTTGTTTTGCTGGTGTAACCCATTGGAGGGAGAAAGGTTTTATCTGACATTATTCTGTCTCCTGACACTCTCCCCACCATTTGTTACTTTCAGGAGGCTATGACTTTGTTAATGCCTGCCTTGTTTAGCCTTGTTTGTTTTGCTACAACTACTGCTTAGCATGAGATGCTATTCTAGTCCTTTTCCTGAACAGCTGATTTTTTCACATCCTTTATGTGGAAAAAATGAATCTAGAGGCAGTATCAGTTCTAACTCTGCTTCCTGTCAGCTGGACAACCTCAGGCAGATTTTACTGATTCACTAGTTCAGGTTTTCTTCTAGGGGTAAGGATCAAATGAGGGCTTATGTGAAGTTCCTGGCAAGTGTGTTATAGAAGCTCAATAAAATGTACTCTTCCTCTTTATCATTTGCTTCATGCTCCTGAGGACAGGCTTTCCATCAGGGTTTTTCTGTGGAAATACCACAGGGAAAATGGAGGAAATGCTAATCATGGTTTGTCCTCTCTACTCAATTGCTAACTAGGGCAAAGACTAGTTCAAATGTAAACAAAGTGGGTTTAGGATGTTTTGTGTAGGGCTGTAGGCCCACCTGAAAGACCTACCCAGAGAAAGAGTCCCAGGAACCTATTTCCAGTGATTGCCCAGTTACCTTACCCATAACTTCCTGTCTTTATGGACTGAAAAGCTGAAATTGAGCTGGTCTCCCTTCTTTATTTTGCCACTAATTCTGACCTACCAGGCATTTGAAATGAAAACTGCTTGCTGGTGCTCAAAGTCTTGGTTCAAAGTCCAACAACAGTGCTTTGCATTGAATAATACTACATAATTTCCATCCCATGACTGCACTAGAGGCACAAGCAGGCAATTTTCATAACCCCTAAGTTGCTGATGAGGACTTAGGATTGGAGGGTTCCTGCCCAGGAAGATATAAGTGTCCCACTTTTATTGTTATTGTTGTTATTTATGCCTTCCAGAACCAAGAGCCACTGAGAGAAGAAGATTCTGATTTCATCCTGACGGAGGGTGACCTCACCTTGACCTATGGAGACAGCACAGTGACTGCCAATGGCTCCTCAGGCTCCCACACAGCCTCCACGAGTCTTGAGGGTGGTCGGAGAACAAAGAGCAGCTCTGAGGAAGTGCTGGAGCGAGACCTGGGAATGGGAGACCAGAAGGTTTCAAGCCGGGGTACCCCTCTTGTGTTTCCTCTGCAGGAAAATGCGTGACTGTCCCCCAAAATCCTGAAATGCTGGGGTAGGCCCTTGGAGTTGAGGATGGCTACATGCCCCAGTGTTGTTTGAGGTGGGGCACTGACTGGATTGAACTAATGCTTCTATTTTGTTGGGGTTTGAAGCTATCTTAACACTTAAAATTTAACCCAAGACTCAGATGGTGAAGCTAGAGTGTCTCTAAATCAAGACGAAAGCAGATCTATCCCCACTTTTTCACATTGTAGTGCGCTGTTTCAGAGTTAAGCAAACACAAAAATAGCATGCTTTCATGGTCTCTTAATTCATCCACCCATGCTCTTTGAATAAGGCAGGGCAAGTATTGGAGATTCTACCCATGAGAAGCTTCATCTCAGCACATAGCAGTGCCAGTCTAGCTGGCTTGAGGAACATCAAGTCAGGGGAGAACAGGCTAGAAGAAAGACCATGAAGGAAGGCAGTTGAGATTGGCCCACCAAGAATTCTGGGATGCTGGTGTTAAACGGGACAGAAAAAGCTATTTGAGTGGAGGCCCTGGCACTGAAGGCTACAGGACTGCATTCTCCTATCAGGATCCCTGACTTTATGCAACCTGTGTTTTCTTCTAGACTGAAGATTAGAAATGATATCCATGAACATTTCAGTGTGGGGAAAAGAATTCTAGTTTCTTCTCTGGAAATCTTTGTAAAGAAGTTACTGGGATGTTTAAAACCAAAGGCAAATTGTGTTATTCTATTGTTTTTAAATTAATCTGAGGACAGAAGGGGTTTAGAAAACGATGGTATCACTGCAAGAATCATTTAACTTTTGAGGGCTACCAGATAGCCCACTACCTGGAAAAATGATCAGTAAGACTGGGGTATATACCATAGAGTTAGAGATAACACCAAAATTTGTAGGATGCTTTTATCAGGGAAAGAAAAAGCAGCAAGAACCCAAACAGGCAATAGGCTAGTATTCAGAGGGAAAGGGATCTCAATGTGAAAATAAAACCTGCAAAGAAAATACAAGATAGGCATCTTAAGACTCAGTAAAATTCCAAACTTTGAGCTGATGTATGCATGCTATTCAGTGGCTACATGAGAAATCTGAGTAAGCATTATTCAACCCAATAGAAAGTTTCATCTTAGATAGGATTAGGAATCAGGTGTCTTTACAGCAAGTATCATTTTCTGGATATCTGGAGAGAGTATTGCACCAGCTTAATTTGTGGATGTGGTTTGAAACCTGGGTTTTCAATTTGTGTTCTTTCTGGGTGAAATATTCTGCCTGCCCACACCTGTGGTAGGTGAAATACTGAGAGAACTCTTGGGACAGTTTTTTTCTCCACTCATCTCTGTGCTTTAGTGCTAGCATTGTTGGCAAATCAATTTCTAAAACAAATGTCTTCAAAATGTGAGTATTTTTCTTCCTATGGTAGACAAATTAGTGTCTTAGTACCATACACCCATAGTGAATCAGCCATTTAACCTTCTTAACTCACATCTTTTTTGTTGTTGTTTATTTTTTTATTTATTTATTTTATGTGGTGTCGGGGATTAAACCCAGTGCCTCATGCATGCTAGGCAAGCTCTACCACTGAGCCACAACCCCAGCCCCCTAACTCACACTTTTCATGGTTAATTTCTCTCTTGCCCAGGCTGGCCTTGAACTCCTGGGCCCAAGTGATCCTCCTCTCCCAACCTCCCAGTAGTTAGAACTATAGGCTCGGGCCACCATGGTAATTGTTATTTTTAAAATAGGTCATAGCTTTACAACTTTCAGAGTTTTAATTGGTAATTTGTTTAAGTAAGGAAAAATTTATTTGATGAGGTTGAGCCACATGAGATTGATGATTTTCAACTATTTTTTCAAAATCTAAAATAGCAGTTTCATATAGATTAATATAAGATAATTGAATGCATTTTATTCATCTCTCTCCTTTCCATAGTAAAGTACATTATGATTTTATGGTCATCTGTGGACTTTGTAAGTCTGCTAAAAGCTAAACAATGTACCTAACCCCCTGAGACCTCAGGGTCACTAGGCTAGCAAAGGACTTCAGAAGACCTGCACCCCACAGCCACAGAATAAGCTTTTTTATGTTTCAGCCCCTAGAAGGTTGTGGGTTCAAGTTGTAGACAACAGCTGCCACACTTAGCAGAAGGTTGGAATTTTGTCCATGTGATTAGACCCAGAACCATCAAGCAGTGTTTGTTTTATAGTTATCTCAGTAATGACCAGTACACAATATAAACTTAGAAGATGAGACTGGGGGGGGGTTGGATTTTTTTTTTTTTTTGAGATGGGGTTTCACTAAATTTCCCAGGCCAGCCCTCAGCTTGTCATCCACCTGCTTCAGCCTCTGAGTAACTGGGATTACAGGTGTGCACCTTCCTCTCTCTCTCTCTCTCTCTCTCTCTCTCTCTCTCTCTCTGTGTGTGTGTGTGTGTGTGTGTAGGTTAGGTTGGTTTACTCTTTGGTTGGGTCTGTATAAAGCCTTTGCTCATCCTTTATGCTGGAGGGGAAAAGCTTAGACAAAAGTCCTAGTGATTATTCTTGAAAAAAACCCAACCAAGTAGAATACACCCAGTCTTCATTCACTGCAAAGCTTTGTTATTCTTTTGGGTTTCTAGGAAGCGTTCAGAAGATGGTAAGAAATTATCTTCTTAGGGAAGAAAAATAACCATTTTGCTTCCCAGCCTAGTCTTAGGTCAATCAATAAATTGTTGTGTTTTCCCCCTAAAGGCCATCCTTTAGTCTTCATTGAAAACCCTTTGTTCCAACCTTATTAAATATAAGTAAATACAGATTTTCCGAGACCAAAACTAGAGTTATAATTATTTGATTGAGTCTTTTATTCAGCAGATTGAAGTAAGTCACTTGGACCTATGGTCCTAAGTTTTGTGTGCAAAGTGTGGAGAATTTTGACCTTACCAAGGGTTTGGGAAGGGGAATCCATTTATTGAAATGGTTCCATATCAAAAAGCATTATGACTAGGCTGCATGGAGAAAAGTAAGAATGCCACAAAGCCCAGAAATCATCTAGCTCAAGGCCAACCAGCTGCTGTTGGTCTGGCATAAAAAACAGACTGATATTGCTGAATAATGGTGTATCCAATTAAACAAAGATCTTCTGAGAAAGTATTCCCAACTCATCCTTCACACATATTTGTTCAAGTTAAGGGGGGGTGACGTTTCAGCCAAGTCAGAGGGTCTAAAGCAGAGGTTCTGCACCCTGCCTGCATATTAGGATCACATGGCTGGTTGGTTTTTTTTTTTTTTTTTTTTTACATAATGACATTACTTTCCAAGATTTGGATTCACTAGCTTTGGAATAGGACCTGGCATCCACACTTTGTTTTGAAGCTCCAGGAGTTCCTAATGTGCAGCCAGGGTTGAGAGCCTTTTGGCTAGAGCTTTCTTTGGACTCTGTTTGGTACTTTAGTCAAAATAATGGCCTAGCAAGTTAAAGGTTTATTTTTAAAAATTTATTGGTGCATTATAATTATACATCATAGTAATATTATGATACAGTCATTTATGCACATAGCATAAATTATTCTTTCATTCCCCCTATACCTCCCCTTTCCCTCTCCTGATCCCTTCTCTACTGATTTCACTTCTGTTTTCACAAAGTCCCTTTTCTCTCTAGCTTCTGTGTATGAGAAAACATATAGGACCCTTGACTATTAGTCATGAGGAACAAACCAAGTCAGTAACACAGCCTTGGCAGCTATGAGAAAGTTTTGAGTTAATCTTTGCAGAACTCAAGGACATACTCCAAAAAATTCAACTGCAAAGATTACATTTGACAGCCTTAGAGCCTCCAAGGAGATAAGGAGAACAAGTGTGTGTGTGTGGGGGGGAGAATTGAAAACTTGTCATCTTCCTTCCCATTTGTGAGGAGAGGGGGAGGAGGATTTTTGTCTTAACTGAGCTTCTGATTAGTCAACATGAAGGTTTCTGGGAGTCTGGCTTTTAAATTTCATATGGAATTAAGTTAATAGCTTGTTCCCATGCCTGAATTTGTGTTGGATTCCTGAGAATAAGGGTGGGCCTGTTGAGTGCCAGAACACAGGGGAAAGTTGTGGTCACTTTGCTGTCACATGATGGACAGCAGATAAAAATTCCTGCCATTCTTTTTGATAAGAATGGTAGTTCCCAGTCTTTGTGGGAACTACCAGCAAACCCAACCTTTGCTAGAGAAGGAATTTTGGAATTCAAGTAAGACTACAATTCTCAGGAAACAAGCACAGGAAGGGCATATGGATTCTGAGCCTCCAAGGTACTCACTAGGGTGACGAGACAAATGAGTGTTGATGCCTCGAAGTCAAAAGTCACACTGAAACATCAAGTATCTCATCAAGCAAACAGCACGGGGCTCTTCAGGCTATTTTCTAGACCCAAAAATATCCTATGTGGTTTGACAAATGAAGTCCCTTTAGAATAAATGCAAAATGATATCTCCGCTATCCATGAACATTTCAGTCTGGGACAAAGAATGAATAGTTCCTTCTAAAATAGAGGCCTGTTTCACATTGTCCCACCCCCAACATTTCACTCCCTCTCTTTGTCTTAAGTGGAAGTTAATGTAATCATATCAGATCTTTCATGTGAACCAGTGATTTCTAAATATAGAAACACCACCAATGTATTTATTGAAGATCAGCAGGGCCATTGAGCGACTCATCAGAGGTGAAAATACCCACTTGGAGACCTGCCTTATAAGTTCTAAGAGTTGTATCAGAAAGATGACAGTGGCATCCATTGTAAAATGCAGCCTGGAATGAGGGCTACTGGTAAGTCAGCTTGCCAACAAGATAAGTATGTGACTTCTTTTTCCACCCTAGAAGTAGAGAACTTGACGATGTCTTTGATGCCTGCCTTTTGACATTGATTGTGTAGATTAGTTATCCAGAGTCAGATAAATTACCCTGGTATCATTGAGTTCTGATCACTTCTGTTGGTTTCTAAGTGAGAAACTAGCTTTCTGGTATCAGCTGCTGCATGCTGGTAACAATAAGTTGAAGGAATTTAGTAGCCAAGAGTCATAGTTTAGAAACAACACATCTGAATGCTGCTTCCACCACTTTGATATCTGAAAAGATCTTCCCCCACTTTAAAGCCTAGTGAAAACAGTATGGAGAGAAATACTGCAGAAACCAATGCTACCATCTAACTAGGAAAAGACAAGTAGATTCTTTTGACAATCTTTTAAAACAAGACCTAGACACAAACCATTTTTTTTTTTTTGCAAACATGTCTTGTCACCCAGGGGTAGCAAAAATTGAAGAGAAAAACCAAAGTTGTTGATCTTAGTTTTATTTTCCTAAGCAGGGTATACTATAACTGGCCCAGATGGAATGCACAGGCTGTCAGATTTCAGCCACCTGAGCCTTGGGGAAGATGAGAAAGAAAGTCTGTCTGCTGTGCTACCTTCTGAAAAGGTCTGAAGCAGACCTGAGTGCATGCAGCAAAGGTCACCTTCTCATTCTGATGGCCATCCTTTAAAAAAAGGCTTAATGGAATTGCCAAATGTCACCATAATCTCTCAACTCTTGGCCAGTGGAAAAATTGTCTAAGCCTCTGTATGTTGGAGGAACTCGGAAAAGGACTTGTAAACAGCACAAAGCGTCATCTGCTGTCTAAAGCACTTTTAAGAAGTTACCATCCAGGTGTTACTGGGTGATTAACTGCATGTACATTTGGGGACTAACTTTTGTTATGATTATTTCATTGTGGGCTTTGGAGAAGTAGAGGAATGATTTTCAGTTGTATAGGTGTGAAGTCTATGGTTTTGTAATTTTATTACTGAAATCGATCCTTCAAAGTGTGATTTCAGCTCCTTCTAGATTATCTCTTTATGTTTTCATAAAATGCATCTGATACTACTTACTTGGGAAGTTTTGTTGTGTCCATTAAAATGATTCAATGGGAAGGCCACAAAGATCCATTTAATAACTGAACAGCAACTTTTTGAAGTAGAATAGGGTGAATTTAACATGGAATGATGTGACCTTCTGGGGAACTTTTTATAGAGGGCTTACTTATTGTATTTGGGGAGATTTTGTTTCTTCTATTTCCATTCAATAGTAGCAAACTGGTGGTTTTATAATATTAAAATTATACTATGTTGTATAAATATACATTATAAATGATATTGAAGTATGTTATAACTGTGAAAAATTAAAGACCTGAAGTTATCTACCTTTATGTGCAATAAGGAAAACTGCCGTAGGCCCCCCAAAGTGGTATCTTTTCCCTAGCATTTTACTTAATGTTTGCCTTTGTGTAGATGTGTAGATTGCTGTTGTAAAGCTAGCCATGTGTTTTCCTGCCCTTTACTGATATTTAACACATTTTTTTCAAAGCTTTTTTTTTTTTTTACGAAACTCAAAATAAAAAGATTAACTGGCTGAGCTGTTCTTATTTTGTATTTTTAAAGTGTCATCCACTAGTAGAAGAATGTAGTATGACCCTATTTCTAGTCTGTTTCTTTCCCTCATAGAAAAGTTCTTTTCTGGGTGGAAGCTATTCCTCTCCAAGGGAATTCATTTAGACTAGGGTTGGCAAACTAAAGTCAGCTTCTGAACCAAATCCAGCCCACTGCCTGTTTTTGTAAATAAAGTTTTATTGGCATCCACTGCACTCATTCATTTGCATACCGTCTGTGGCAGTTTTCATGCTGCTGAGGCAGAGCTGAGGAGTTGTGACAGAGTTTATACAGCCCATAATGCCTAAGCTAATTACTATGTGGCCCTTTCCCAAGAAAGTTCTTGCCCAGCCCCTGATTTAGATGCTTGAAGAAATTCAGTTTTAAAAGAGTATAAAAATCGTGGCAACAGATTTTTAAGATTTTTTAAATGTGCCTTAGAGTTAAAAGAATTACTTCAAACTTGGCCTTTGCCTGTGACTTTTCTGTAAGAGGAGGGCCTTCCAAGAGTCTGACAGGCTTTGAGTACAGAACCCAAAGAAGGCATGACCAGGTATGGGCAACATCACGTTGTAAGACTGAGAGGAATAAAGTCAACATTGCAGCTTAACCCATAGGTTCTTGTTGAATAATTGCTCAAATTCTTGAACCCAATATAGGTTTTCCTTCATAGTCTTCGTATTCCTTTGCATGTAGATACCTTTACATGAACCATGTACTTTAACTATATCCTAAAATATGCTTGTAACAAAACACAATAAATCCTGTCTTTAGCATGACTCTAAAGTCATTTAATTGCATAAAAAATCACAATAACATCAGCTAGAACAATTTAAAAGCAAAACTTAGGTTTAAATTCATTAGAGATCTCCCACCCCAGGGAGCAAAATTACTTTTTAATAATTGGTCCCAGGGGAGGGGACTATTTGAAGGAGAGCTGGATGAGTCAGGTTTAAAACAATACCACCTAGACCTTTTATTTAATATCAAGTAATTTAATCAAGACAGACAGGACTGCACTTGGCCCTTATTCACATTGATGTTTTTGTCCAGACATCTGCTGATGCGCAATGTAACTAAATCACATCTCTTCTTTGTTGTGATGTTTTGTTGAAATGGCTCCAGCAAAAGCAGGTTCAGCCTGGGAACTAAAGCTCTTCTTATTTTATGGCCATAAATATCCACATTGCACTGTCACTTCCTCCCTAGAAACTTCATCTCAACCAGTGTGTCCATCGATATTTAACAGCTTGTGATATTCCTGCCCAGCAGAATTGCACAGCAGTTGGTACCAAGCAAAGTCCCAGTCTCTGACAGTGTGATAGATTGCCTTCACAGTGCTGCTACTCCTGTGCTGGGACAGCATGCTGAGTGGCCCGGTTCATGGTGACTGACCTGGAAGAGAAGGAACAAAGGACATTTGAACTTCAGAACCCAGAAATCCACAGACAGAAAGTCTTTTGAACGCTGATGATGTGAACTTTGATTTTCCTTATCTAAGCTAGATTTTCCAGTACTGGAAACCCATACCAAATCAGTATCTTTTCTGGTTTGTGAAGACAGGCCAGGAGAAAATGTGACCTAAAAGGTGTTTGGTGAGGGTGAAGACAAAGATGACAGAGCTCCTCTGTCAGTTTGGCTGTGCTTTATGCAGCTTCTGTTGTGGGCTGCCTATTGAGAAGAATAGAACTTTCCAGGACCTGTTAGGTAGAAGAGGAGGAGAAGCTGGGATTGAAGATTTATGCTTAGGTATCAAACATGTATCCAACCATTCTTCACTTGTGTACTAGTTCATATGTACAAAATATACCTTTATTTTGCTTATTTATTTTATGTGGTGCTGCAGCTCAAACCCAGTGCCTCACACATGCTAGGCAAGCACTCTACCACTGAGCCATAGCCCCAGCCTGAGCATAATTAAAAAAAAAAAAAACTAGGTCTGGGAGCTGGGGTTGTAGTTCAGCTGTAAAGTGCTTGCCTAGCATGTGCGAGGCCCTGGGTTCGATCCTTAGCACCACATAAAATAAATAAAATAAAGAGATTGTGTTCAACTACAACTAAAAAAATAAATATTAAAAAAACTAGGTTCTGAACCCAGGGCCTTGAGTATGTGTGCTTTACTACTGAGCTACAACCCCAGCACCAAGTGGGCAAAATAAATCACACCAACAACAGTCAGCTGTTCAGTAAAATTGAAGCTGCATTTGGTAACATTCCCAAACTTCAACCTTCATGGCACCTGGACTTTCTTTCATTTAAACATACTGCTCGTGTCACTGTGAGCAGTGGAGTGTGGGCTAACTCTGGATATGTTTGTGCTACTTCTGCCACCAGATTCTTGATTTTTTTAGATCCTTTGATCCTGGATGTGTATCCAATTTGACATTTTATAATATGGTTAAACTGCTCATCAGCGTCTAATGATGCAAAGTTTGGAAAATAAATACTTTCAAGATTATTCAAAGCATGCAATAAAGACTAAGCCTTAAGGAAAAACTAATTCCATAAACACCATGAGGCCTTTCTATGGATCTTGAATATTCTCATAGTACAGATAACTTACATAAAGAGCCATCATGTCAAGTTTATTTGGTATAAATTAGTTTAATAAAAACCAATGTTCAGGTGGGCTGCTTTCTGGTTCAAGACAAGGTGGGGCAGAGCAATTTTCCTTATTCCTCCCACAAAGTGCAACTAAAAACTCAAAATATGGGCTGGGGTTGTGGCTCAGCAGTGGAGCGCTCGCCTAGCACATGTGAGGCCCAGGGTTTGATCATCAGCATCACATAAAAATAAATAAATACATAAATAAAGGTATTGTGTCCAACTACTAAAAAATAAATACTTTTTAAAAACTGAAAATATGACAAAGAAGACTAGAGGGTTGAGAGATAAATGCAGACTGATTAGGAACCTTGGTAATTGAGGAACAACAATATGAGTTCCCTGGATTTTCTTTTTGCCTCCTTTATATCCTGGAGTGGGTGCTAAGAAAGCCAGCAAGCCAGAAATGGACAAGTTTTTTCCAGTTCAGACAAGAAAGAAGCTACTAAATGTCAGGTGCCATGGTGCATACCCAGCAACTCAGGAAGTTAAGGCAAGAGAATCACAAGTTCAAGACCAACTTTAGCAAGAATTAAAATTTTAAAAAAGGACTTGGGATGTAGCTCAGTGGTAAAGTGCCCCTGGAATCAATGCCCAACACACACACACACACACACACACACACACAGCAGAGAAGCCCCTAGAAAAGCTTGTTATCTATAGCCAAAGGACAGGAAAAGGTTAGCTTACAAAGACAAAAACCAAGCACCACAGGAAAAAACACTACCTCCTGTTAGCAGAGGCCTGGTGGGCCTAATGGAAAGCCACAACTTTTGGACTGCTGCCCTGACCTGGCAGTAACTAGGTGGTACACCCCTTCCTCCACAAGTGTGCCGTCTATGGAATCTTGCTAAAGTAGAAGATTTAAATAAGATTCAGAGATGCATAAGGTAATATCCCAATGTCCAAGATACAATGAAAAGAGTACTTGTCCAACTAAGAACCAGGAAAATTTCAACTTGAATAAGAAAAGAAAATGTGACTGGTAGATACTAACACTGAGGTGACACTGGTATTGAAATGATCCAAAAAAGCTTTAAACAAATATAATTAAAATGCTTAAGCTAGCAATTACAAACACACTTGAAACAAAAGAAAATTATTTTTTCACCAAATAGATATGTTTTTGAAAGAACCAAATAGAAATTTTAGAATTATAAATTACAACAACCAAAATTTGAAAGCCTTACTAAATGGGCTCAATAGCAAAACAGATGGCAGAGTAAAGAAGTACTGAATCTGAAAACAGAACAACAGAAATTACCCAATCTGAACATCAGAAGATAGAATGAAAAAAGATAAACAGAGTCCCAAGGGCTGATGGTATCACAGTAACGGATTTACTATTTATGTTAAAGTTCTAGAAAAAGATTGGAGTTGAAAAAATACTTAAATAAATATGGTTGAAAATTTCCCAAAGATGATAAAAGACATAAACTTCCAGATTCAATAAGCTATGAGAACCCCAAACAGGAAAAACCCAAAGCAATCTACTCCAAGGCAACATAAACAAACATCAGAAAAACAGTCCAAGAAAAAAATCTCAACCACAACTAGAAAGAAATGACACATTATTTATGGCAACAATTTGAATGCCAGTGGATTTCATATCCAAAAACCTGGCAGTTCAGAGGAAGTGGCACAGTTTTTAAACAGTGAAAGAAAATAACCATCAAACCAGATTTCTATATCCCATGAAAATATCCTTCAGGAATTAAGATGAAATAAAGATATTCACAAATGAAGGAAAACTAAGAGAATTTGTTGCAAATACAAGTGCTACATAAGAACTGTTAAAGGGCTGGGTGCCATGGCACACACCTATAATCCCAGCAGCTTGAGAGGCTGAGACAGGAGGATCACAAGTTCAAAGCCAGTCTCAGCAACTTCAAGGCACTAAGCAACTGAGTGAGACCCTGTATCTAAATAAAATACAAAATAGGGCTGGGGATGTGGCCCAGTGGTCAAGTGCCCCTGAGTTCAATCCAGTTTAAAAAAAAAAAGAACTACTAAAGGAAGTAGTAGAAAATAAATGATAAAGGAGGTAAATTGAATCATCATAATCATCATATATGAAGAACAACAGAAAGAGTGAATAAACTTAATAGACTATTCTCTTGAAATTTTAAAACTGTTTGATAGTTAAGGCAAACATTACAACATTGTATTTAGGTTCTCAATATATGTAGAAAAAATATTTTTAAAATTATAGGAGGGGAAAGATAAAGGAACTTCAGTGGAGATTGGTTTTTTAATACTTCACTGGAGGCAGTAAAAAGTTGACATAAGTAGACTGTGATAAGTTACATATGTATAATCCAAAGGAACCACTAAAATAACATACAAAGA